AGTTAAGTTAAATTAAGTTAAGTTAAGTTAAGTTAAGTTAAGTTAAGTAAGTTAAGAACTTAACTTAACTTAACTTACTTAACTTAACTTAACTTACTTACTTAACTTAACTTACTTACTTAACTTAACTTAACTTAACTTAACTTAACTTAACTTAACTTACTTAACTTAACTTAACGTAAGTTAACTTAACTTACTTTACTTAACTTAACTTAACTTAACTGCACTTAACTTAACTTAACTTAACTTAACTTAAGTCTCGATGTATAAGTCTCGATGTATAACTGATCTATGTAAGTTATCCCANNCCCATGTATTTCTCGAGGGCTCCGCACGGAAAACCCTCCGCAAAGCTTTCGGGAAAACGCAGGTATTAACTACCCCGCTAGGGAGCTTTGCACCGGGTGGAACACTCAAGATGTTCCGTGATGTAGCGCCGTATGCTCCGCGACCGATACGGTCACTTAAAGTTCCCATCCTGCAGAGGAACTCCGCTCATGCAGGACAAGGACTCCTCTTCATCCTCCCCTGGGTCGCCAAGACCCGGTGGCGGTGCAGGGTAGTAGAGGATGAAGCTTTCGGTGGTGCCGCCCCTGATTTGGGCTGCAAGTCCACCGTGCCCTTGGCCATCTGCTATTGGAAAGCTCTGAGATGCGACTTGTGACGATTCCACTGTTGGTTGTAGGTGTAACCAGCATTGTCGTCTTCCTGAACCAGTGAGTCGTTCCTGAAAGTCTGTGCGATGGTTTCAAGCGTGGGACAGCCGCTAGCGGTGCGCCAGCCTTTGCACCTTCCACCAGAGCTGCCGTGTGCTTGACGGTGTGAGCGAGGAAGCCACCCACCATCAGCGGAGCGCTGGCCGCCAACCGTTCGAGAAGCAGAATCTGCTTTTCTGGTCGCAGGCGACGAGACGCTGCTCAAGCTCCCGCCGCTCCTTCTCGATCCGCTCTACCTCGTCACGCTCCGCCTGGGTGAGATCGGTCCTCGGGTCGGTGTCCGGGTCCACGGGAGTGTTGTTGAAATGCAATGGAGTCTCATGAGTGGGAGTGGTCGCTTCACCACTTGATGGAGGAGCTCCAGTTGCATCGGCAGAACCGGTGCCTGTGCTCCCGGTGGGAACCACCTTGCCGCATGCACTCCCATGCAGTGTTGACGGTACAACGCCTCACCATAGCTGCCGGCCACAGGCATTGGGAATCGAGGCATATTGCATCCCTCCCTGCTGAAGATCAGTGTTCCACGTTGGACCTCTGCCAAGGGCAAAATGGCTGCCCAATTCAGGCATTTTGAGCAGGACCTGAAAGTTGAACGTTGAGCGTCACACTTGGTCCTACCACCTCTGGGGACTCTAGGTGTCCTTCTGTGATTCCACTCCGGAACGCCGTGGTCGGCCTCGACCAGAAACCCGGCTCTTCTCCGGATGGTGTTTAAACCAGCACACCAGACACCGTGCCACTCGCCTGAGCGACACAGGTGACATTCTTCCCCAGCTTGGAACTCCATACACCTCGTTTCGGATCATCAGGAATCAGGAGGTTTCAAACAACAAACTGGCAAGAATAACCAGCCGAAAGGGTACCCTCACCATCAGATCACACAAGCAGTGGGTGACCCTCAACACAAGTTTTGGCGCGGGGCTCTTCGGGATCGCGGCACCACCAGGCGAGGACGTCGTTGGGGTAGGTCTTGATGTACATCCTTGCACCCCAGAACCTTGGCCTTGGCTTTCGGCGTACTTGGTCCAGCTGGTTCCGGAGCGGAGGCGTAAAGTGCCCGCCTACTGCATAGCGGGTTCACCTGAGTCGGTCTGATCCGCCCCCACAGTACGCCGCCGATCCAATCAAAGCGACCTCATCCTGTCCTTCGTCATATGTGGGCTACAGCGTTGAGAACCTTCGGTCCTTCGAAGCTTGCACTCCGCGCACGTGGCAAACCGAACCGACACTTCGCTCCGACACCGGTGAAAGATCCAGTCGGTGGCGCGAACCAAGGTCCACCGCATCTCGGTACGCCCACGCACTGTTGCATTCCTGCCTTCGGGAGCGGTTTCTTTCCGTGCACTAATGGCCGACGATCGTCGAAGCCGACATCTGCTCTCGAAATCGCCACAGGTAGTGGAGGGCCTCGGAGGAGGTCTGCTGGGCTTCGGTGGTCCCTCCACTTTTAGGGGTGGAGGTGGAGGAGCCTTGGTCCCTGTCTCCTGCGGCGGCGGTGACGCTGACGGTCAGCCACGCTCCTTGGGCCCAGGTTCCACGGCCGACAGTTCGGCCCACACAGCCTTGACTTGCAAACTGCTCCAAACGTCCTTCTGGATTGCCTTCCCGATGCGGATAATCGCCAGGTTTCTGAGCACGCACGGGCGTCCCCGTGCCAAGGTCGCGTGGTCCCGCAGGACTGGTCGTCACCAGCGTTCCGCCACCATGCAATGCGTACACTCGGCTCTCTATTTCCCTGTGCTCAAGGCGCCTGCAGTGGCAGCGGTTTGCCGTCCAAGGTTGCTCGCATGGACATGCCCCAATGGTGAATGACAACAGACTAAACAGAGCTAGCAGCTAGCAGACCTGAGCAAGCAGTAATGGGTCTCACAGGCGGACTGTTTACAAGAAGCCTCGAAATCATCCTACAAGCACCCCTGCAAGCTTGTACACAATGAATTGCCGCATTCTGCTGAGCGCTGGCCGTGCTAGCACACGCCCTACGCAAACTTGGCTCTGTTTGTCTGCAGCCTTGTCACTGCTTTTCGAGCACTTCTGTGGTTCTTGATCAATGTGGCTGGGACAACTCGGAAGCTTGTCGAGTAAGCATGGCGCTAGTGGTAGCTGCGCAGATGCTTGCCAGTACATGCACAGATATGCACAGATGTTGCCATTTTTTGCACAGCAAGAGCAAAAGAATATGCTGATTTCCAAACACCAGAAGGTGCAAATGTGGCAGATGCAGGATTCAGAACAGAGTCGACAGCAAAAGGCCGATTTCGCAAGAGGCTATGATCCATGCCTTATGTCTGAGACAAAACACATAACGAATAGGTGAAGAGAGAAAACGGAATTCAAATCTGGAAACTTCCCAATCGCCTGCCTTCGGCTCCATGTGGTTCAGGACGACACGTGATGCGGGTCATGCGAAAAGCCATTAGCCTTTAGAGCGACTCGCGTGAGGAAGCGGACACTGCTCTTTAGCGCCCTCCTTGGCCCCTTCGTGCCTGAAGACCATAATGTTAACCGGAACTGCCAGGATGGCCTGGGCAGCTCCCGGGTGCGTGCTGCGGAGGCAAACGAAGCTGAAAGCTCGGCAGAGCGGCAATCATAGGCACCAAGACGCTGAACATAGAAAGCCTCAAACGAGTGCAGAATCTGCAGATGATGAGCAGCCTGATACAACGAAGACATCCTTGCTAACTAAACGAGACAGCATAGACAGCATTATGCCAGTCAGTCTAGCAAGTTGCAACGCAAAGTTGATGACCACCTCCAGGAAATCCTCCACAATCGAACCTCCCCAGGAATCAAACCTTATTCAGACGCAAAGCCGCGCAGCCACAAGACAGGGTCCAACATGACAACAGACAATCTCTAATGACTCTAATGTGTAGCAAAGCCACTGATAAGGTGCGAGGTCACAGCATTTTGCCTGATACCTTGACTTTGACGTTTAGGCTCACAGCACTACGGCTGTGCAAACATCTAGACGAGGAGCTGTAGCAACGTGTATTCCACAGTGGATTCGTCGTACTTCTCTGCTGCCCGGCGAGACTCTTGCATTTCAGCCTGGCCGTTGCAGCCGTTGTAGAGACTGCCATATGCTGATGCCTGCCTAAAACTTTCAGGAAATCTCAGTTCGTGGCACATTTGACGAGAATCACAGGAATCAGGAGGAACACGACAGTTAGGAGCCCCTGCAGGGCTGCACCGTCACTGAAACGAACAGGAAATCAGACGCACCGTCACCGTGCCTGCAGTATGTAGAATTGGAACAACCTCGGCATGCAGGAATGCACAGTTTCCTGCCTTCATGGATTCTGGCGGGTATCGTACTATTCGAACGGCCAGTGCCGTGTGCTTTCCTGTCAGTCAGTCATTGAGCAACTCGGCGGCACTTATCTGGTGAAATCTGAGAAGCGTCTCCCGCAGCTCGAAGGTGCAGCTTGTTTCATCATGTACTTGACCTTGTTTCTGAATCATGTTTATGCAGCACGAGGCCCACATGTGGTGACACAAGATGCTACGCGCAGACAAGATCGTGTCTGCCGAGTCTCCTTTCAGAAATATCGCTGGACCTCGCAATCCAAACTGTACCCTCGAGAAATTCGTGTCTGTGCAGCGGATGAACGGCTTTCAGCTCACCTCCCATTCCCTGCCAAAGGGCTCCTGGGCCTGCAACCTTCGATGCAGACTTGTGTCCGACCGTCCTTCGCACCACGCTACGGACGAGCGACTGCTCTAGAAACTCGACGAATGGATCGGGGGTACTTGTGTCACTCGGCTAAGCTCCACAGCAACCCGTCGAGAGTCGCCAACAGTAACAGGCATTTCGATCAAACGACGGCTTCGCCTAAGTCTTGGTATACAAGCATGAACGAAAGATCCGGGCGTCCATGCCCCTGAGCTGCTAACACACAACAAAGTCTTCCTTAAGCCGGATTTGTGAGAAACACTAACTTCAAAACTTCGAATTTTCGGATCATGCGCTTTCTGATGAAGAGGCACGGCAGAATAAGCAGCCAGGTAGGCGTATTTTGTTTGTACAGTTTTTTCGTTTTGTGAGATCGGTCGCGGACATCCTGCTACCACGGTGAAACGTGAAAAACACAAAAGCTGGGGAAGACAACGATTTACTCGTATATAGAATGTATGTATGCGTACAAAATCGTACACACCTACAGGTTTAGGCGTGGCAAGCAAACACCTCAAGCAATTCTGACGTAAGTATGCCAAACACCAAGAATGGCAGCCTGGAAACAGACGAATGCTCTGCGGGGCATCCTGCCCCGCTGTGCCAAAGACACCAAATGAGACTAATGAAAGGTATCTCCCATTTGCCCGTGCAAGGGGGCCAGGGCGGATACACGCAGGGACGTTTGCCTGGGTTGTAGAACAAAGCTTCGTTACCGGCAGCTCTTGAGCCCCATGCGTCCAAACGCAATAATGCGGAGAAGTTGCATGGCGATAGCAAGCAGCTACGCCCTCACATGCTCCCACGAGGACATATGGGGACAATTGCAATTCGGCATGAATGTGGACGCTTGAGCGACCCGGTTGGAGGCCGATGGGAAGAAGCAGGCGGAGAGGGGCGAGAAAAGGATTGAGGCACAGCCGCAGAACATCGACCATTGAGAGGGAGAAGCTAGACATCATCAACACAACCACAACACGAACGGAAGTGTGTCAACCGACGAAAAGGATGAAGATGCATCTCGGGTTCGGCTTCACCGGCCTGCCTGCTGCCACACTAGACTCACTCCATGCCGCGATCGCTGGAGTCTTGACACGCGGCAACCCGAACAATTCCTGCGCGTATGCGCTGACCCGCTCCCATGATGCCGAAGTCTTCGGGGGCAGTTCAGCACCGGCCATCAACAAGGCCACTAAAGGCTGCCCTTTTGCTCGACTGCAGTGGCGATTTTTCAATCAACTCAACGGACGCCATCCCCCGCTGCTCCTGGGAGCACAAGCTTACCTGCAAAAGCAAGCAAAAACCGGCGTCAGGAGTAAGAGCAAAGGCCGCAATGGCCATCCTCCGTTGGCACACCTGAACTAAATAACTAGCGCTCTGAGAAGCACAAGCGAATTTACCGATGGACATCATCGTCAACACCTTGTCAGCACCAGATGACACATGGGTAGGGGTAGCCCTACCGAATGCAATCTCCGGGCTTAGGAACATTTAGGAACTTTCCTTCGAGAATGTGCATGCGCGGGCGCAGCCCGCTGAAACAGAGCACATCAGCCTCGGCTGACCGTGCAGCCTTTTGCACATGCACAAAAGACACGCAGCCAAAGGGAGTAGAATCCATGCTACAGCCGCAGCCATCGTACGCAGCTTGGGAGCGGGCAAAAACCAGGAGGCGGTTTAGGTGAGACGCCCTGGCTCAGCTACACCCCAGTCCACAATCCGCCCCTCCCTGGTGAGACTCCCCTCGCGCTAGTTTAAAGCTGACACGCAAAAAGGCAGCGGGGGAGAGCCATGGCAGTCGGTTGCCAATAAGGCATTTCCGCAGGGCAGCACTCATGCTCGTTGTGTGCCTGCCTGGACGCAGCCCTCAACCCTCAGATGCACGGAGTGAACGCAGGCTCTCACAAGCGCCCATGACTGTATGTCACCCTGCAGCAACGATCCCGACGGATGCAGCCTTAGTCTCACGGGCACATGCCCCTTTGATCTGGCTCCATGTCGGGTGAGCCAGAACGATCACGTACTTATCAGACAAAGGAGACGAATGACAAGTACCCCCAGCTGCCCGTGCAGTGGCCCAGGGCGGACACATGCAGGACGCTGTGCCGGGGTTGTGGGAGAAAGCGTGCCGCGGAGTTCGCAGCAACATCCTAGCCTCCCTTTCTTTGCCTCCAAAAGCAACAGAACTGCACAAAAGCTGCATAGCGACATGTGCGAGCATTTCACACGTAGGCAGACACACATGGACACACCCTCACAAACGTGTTGCAACGAAATTGGCCCTCCAAGCAAAGTTCGCAGCTTGCATCAGCTTGCTGACAACATGTCCAGTTGTCCGCACGAAGCCACGTGCCTGGGTGATGTTGTACAAGTATGGGTACGGCGACCACAGCTTGTCCTAAAATTCCACGGACATAGAGCGTTCTTGCACGATCTTCCAAGATGAACACGCATGCAGCGCGAGCGTCTCCCAACTGCATCTTCAGTTTCTGGATGTCATGCTTGTGGGCAGGCCAGATGCCTGGCATTCATAAACTTGGAGCCCACATGGTGGGCATCGCCATGCACAAGTTAGATGCGTTCGAAGGAGCTTGCTAGCACTTCGTCGGCACTCTGTTTGCATAAGGGTTCCTCATGGGCAGCGGAATTCGCATCGGCACAGGTGATTCCAAGACTCGCGAAGTCAACTCCAAGGCTCACTAAGATTCGCGATGAAAGCCAGCCGAAAGAATGGAAACCTCGGCTGCTCTCGAAAAGATCTCGAAAAGATACCAAACCTTTGCTGCGGACGTACGACTGCCGCTGGTTGCAGCAGAAATGCACGGCAATGAACACCTTCACCGTGCACAGGCTGAAAGCCAAAGAGGAGTTACGGGCTGCTCGCGTCCTCGGAAAATCACAAGATTTGGCTGCTGCTGGGGTCGTTCGCAGTCGCAGATCATCCCCGCCTGTGGTTTTGTAGCCTTGCTATCAGCGGGACTATTTTTGCCTCGGCTGAGCATTGAGCTGTCAATGTAGTTTGTGAGCTATCAGTGGTGCTTGGATGGCTGAGGCACCCATCCAAAGGACAGCCCTCGGATCAGGATTGTCAGGGCCTCAGGACGTGGTAACATACAGGCATAGTGAAAAATGCAGGCCGTCTCATGCACGAACCAGCGCTTGCCAGGACGAAGAAGAGGCAGAATTGTCACCTCATGCGGGTAACTCACGATGCCGATCGTCCGAGCAAGCCTACTTTGATTGCAATCCAACTGCCTTTCATGCCCCATTCCAGGGTGAATACGAGACCAATGTAGAACAGCCTGCACGACTTAGAGATACTTAGAGGATGCAGGATTCAGACGCTGCAAGGACGGCATCGCCGAGAGAGATGCTGAACAATTACACTCGGGTTTCGAACAAGCAGCAGATAGGCGATGACGATCATGTTGCCCCACCTGACTCAACTCGAATGCTGGGCACCCCTTCGGGCGAACTGAGGTCTCGGCATGTAACGGAAACTCAGCTCCTTCCTCAGCACGCGACTATTCTTCGCCTGCTCTGGACCGCGAAAGTCCGGGGCACCTGCGTTCCCTCCAATTCCGGGCGATACGATGAAAGCTCAATGTCATGCTCCTCATAGTCCTTTGCTGCACGGCTGTCTGCTCTCGACCTTGACATGGGTATTGAAGAAAGCCCTGCCTTCATTCCCCATAATTGCTTGTAGCGTTCGCTGATGTTCCTGTGATCACACAGCTTCTCCATCCAACACAGTCAACTTTGCAAACAGTTGCACGGCTTCTGAGGAAGAGGCTCCCATGTACGGCCAAACAAGACCGTCCTTCCGGCACATTTGCACCGTCCCAGCTTTGCAAAACGACCCACAAACACTATGCGAGCGATGCGAGCGCAGGATCGCAGCACGATTCTTTACTTAGAAGCTTGCAAGCACATCAAAGCGGTGCTACCCACCTCTTGCTCTCAACAAGCACGCACACAAGAGTGGTCAAAGGAGCGTCCAGAACAGGACCGTCAAAGAAAACACCTTCCAGTAAGACGAATACACTTGAAGGCAGAGCAGCTTGTCGGTCCACAAAACAATTCCGCATGTGAAATGACCCATCGAGCCTTTTGGACCCAGCGCTGGTTCCTGGCAGCTTTGGACTCTTGGTGGACGCGGCCTATGCTCGGGGAGGGGCAGGAGTAGAGTCCTCGTATCTTCGAGGAAGGCAGCAGAGAGTGGCACCTCGGAGAACGATGAATAAGTCACGATGGAGATCTCCTCTCAGTCAAGAAGATGAACACAACGAACTGCTGACGAGAGGCAGCAATGGCAACCATTGCCTTGCAGACAGACTTTACGGGAGGCTGCACAGGGACTTGCGTTGCGTTGTCCGCTGGCATGCTGAGGCCTACAAGGGTCGGGTAGGACCTGCTGACAAGCCAACAAAAGCCGCCCCTAATTCTTGCGGGGTCAATAGATTTTGAGCAAGCGCTTCAGGTTTCGCAGCAACGCAGTCTCAGGCAAGCTGCCAAGACCATAACGGATCTGATGTAATGGCTGAAGAACAGGAAGAAGAAAGCAACCTCCTGCTCACCCACTTCGTTTACATTGCAACATGATGTTGCAACATGCGACGGCTGCCCGGGGTCCACCACGTTAGCAAATGTGACTTTGCAATGTTTCTGCTACTTGGGAGGGCAATGAGCAGCATGTCCTCCCCAAAGTAATCTCGAACTTGCTGGCTTCCAGACCTGTGGTAGAGCAAAACCACCATAGAAAAGCATATCTGCCGCAGGAACATTCATGTAAACTGCTTTTCTTTAGTCCACTGCCCCACTGTCAGAGTTCCGCGCAAAGTCGGCGGGCAAAGCATTCGCGAGGTGCGTGCCCATCGCGACATCAAGTGTGACAGAAGCAGGGCCTGAATACAGTCGACATTCAGAACCCTGCAGCAGCGCTCCAAGATTGTCTGACGACAGCCTGGCATGAACGGCGGCTGGGTTGTTAGACAGCCTGGTCCAATGACTCAGGTCCAAACTTCAGAACAAGGGAAGTATTTGACCATCACCTGGGTTGAGCAGTTTTGCGAAAACCGCTTGCTGCTGTGATAAGGTTCATCCAGCCTTCTGCTCCAGCATTGCTGCAAGATCGATCCACCGGTCAAGACGAAGCAAGATGAGACCTTGCATCAAGGCCCAGTAGTGCTTTATCTCCGAAATCGGGCAAGTCAGGTATGAACATGTAACCTGCAAGGCAGGATTTGCATCGGAAACAGAAAACTCAGAAAACTATGCCGGCTTCTTCAAGCCCCTCGACCGAACCTTCGGATACTGAACACAAAGCCTTGCTCAACAAGACGAAGCTTCCCCGAAGCTGACGTGAACATCGCTCTCAAGCTTCATAGCGCGATGTCTGTAACATGCAAATTTCGTCATGGCGGCGTATTTCATCCACCTGTCGAAATGGCTGGAAGAATCGAGCCATCTCCACCTGAAACAATGCCAGAAACATGCGTTTGAAAGATAACCCGCGCGGTGCAGAGGACCTTGTACGAAGCAAAGCCGCAAACTGTCTGACCATACTTGTTCCTGGATAAACAGACGTCACCATTAATCTCACGCTGAACTCGCCATGAAATGCCAAGCTTCTGCATTGGTTCCTTTCCGGGCCAGTTGCCCCAGGCGTCCATATCTTCGTATGCCTCCTGCTCGCACTATCCAACAAACTAAACTTATGGTTTCGTGATTGGGTCGAAGATGATTGAACATGAACTGGCCACGACGTCCTCAGTGAAGGGCATGCCTGCCGTCCACAGTCACTGCATCCACGTATCTACCAACCGCTTACGAAGGAGGCATCTGCAGCTCAGCAGCGGTAGCGGTACCGCTCTGCAAGCTCCTGCAAGAGCTTCTGCGACCATCTCCAATCCACGGGGCACAGCAGCACTTCGCGGTCCTGGATCATCACGCCACCACGGTCTAGCCCAACCCGCATGAACACCTCATCACCTCAGGCCAACGACTCGAAAGTTTCGCAGGTGTATGCAGCAGCATGTGCACACATAGGATCTGCTAAGTCATTCAACATCCCCCAACGGCAGAATGGCTGTCGTTGGGGCTCACATAGGGCAACAGGAAAGCCGACAGAGCTGCAGATGATGTGTTGTCCATGCTCGGCATTGAACACGAGATTTGCTGAAACCAGGACCGAATGCGACTAGCAGGCCTCGGAACACGCATTGTGCGAAGCCCCGGGAGCTCAATTTGACCAGTTTGGGCTGTTGCTCAATCAGGACAAATTACAGCATGTTTGGGTTTGGGCATGGCATTGAGCAGCGGTTTCCCGAAACTAGAGCCGAATGGAGGCCTTGGAAAATGCATTTGGGCTTGGTCGGGAGCTTCGCGAACTCAACTTGAGCAGTTTATGGGTGGCTGCATTTTGGGGGGTAGGGATGCCAGATTTGCAGCTTGGTCGGGGGTTCCCTGCGCCGAACCCGGAACCAACCCACCCCGCAACCCTCAAAACCGCCCGGAGCGCGTAACCGGCCCGACCAAAAACACGGAGCAGGAAGGCCTTCTACTAGGCTTCAAAAGACCAATTCAGAATTGTAACTAAAAACTTGCAGCTGTCCCCAGCCCCGGCTCCCGAACACAGACTGTCGCAAACTCCAATCGATTGGCGGGGGTTTCTCTTCTGGCACACACCGATGACCACACCTCCGGGCCCGCAGGCCCGCAGAACCTGAATGCTCCATTACGCAAGACGTGCCGCTTTCAGGCTTCATTTTCTTGCTGCTGCTGGTGGCTTGTATGTCGCAGGTCAAGTCACCATCAATGCTCTCGAACGTGTCGACCTGCACAGCAATGCACAAAGATAGTAGGGTCGGATAGTCTATTCATCTGGCAGATGATACGAAACAGTTGCCTTGAAGGAGGTCCTCTGGCAAAGCTCCACGAACTTGCTCCTGACGAGGTCCTCACAGGCCCAGCGTAAGCTACGAAGCGCCACTTCGTTGCCGATGGCTGCCTGGTAGACCAGCTGCGTGACACTTTCACCGCTCTGCAAGACATCAAAGCCTGTCAGGAGGCAATGCTCCGAGAACTGCAGGGACTTTCGTAATGTCAGGATCGAGCTGCCATCTTCCAGTGTTTGCCAGCCTGAGATGTCAGGAAGCTTTCTTTCTGCTTTTTGCACGTGCTCTGGCAGCGGCCTTTGTCATGTCGAATAACATTCCATGTTCGCACGAGCAGCTGTCCGCATTCATCTTCCGGACAAAGATGTCTTTCGCTTTCTGGAGCAAACGAACCAAAAACCAAGATACAATAACTTCAATACACAATGAAACTCTCACAAGGACCAGCGGAGCAGGAAAGCTCACTAGACGCTGCTCAAGCTACTCGGTAAAGGCCCATCAAGCGCACCTCAACCGGCGCGGCAACCGTCTCATCTTCATCGATGGTGCCTCCAGCAGCTTTGCCTGGCAGACAATGAGGCCCCGGACGCCTCTTGCTCGATGCACTTTCAATACTTCATGCTGGCTTGCTGCAGCAGTTCTAGACATGAAGCGAGGCGGCATGGGCCTCTGGCGAACACGAAGCAAATTGCGAAACCCTGGGTGTCGATAACGAGTTCACTTCCGAACCTGGCATCTGTGATCCATCGCAGCACTTTCGGTCTCGGGCTTTGCGGTCTGCTCCGGTTTACATGCACTGCCGGGTGCGATTCCAGGGCACAAGTTGAGCACGTCTTCGGGGCCACTGTCCTTTTCGCTCACATGTCCTAAAGCAGTCTAACGCTGCCAACGGCCTGCCTCCGCCAACAATTCCGATTCTGGATCTCTCTCCATGCTGCAACATCAGCACGGACCGTTCGACTCAAACCCAAGCTCTTCACTAGTTGCATCACTCGCTGCCACTAGCTGCTTCCTGCGTTAAACTCGACCTGTGCTCTTTGAAGGCTTACCTGACGACGAACGACGACTTTCCTGCACGCGACATTACCTGTGTCATTGTACCGATTCCAACGAAGTGCCACAGAGGCAGATCTTTTGAACAAGAAATGTTACGGACATGCGGAGCACGATCGTTGTGGCGAGAAGGGTCGCCAGCCATGCCTCTCTCGCACAGATTCATCCATCTTCTCAACGATGTAGGCTATCCTGCCATCCCCGTCTAGAGTCTGGGCGGTATCAACCTGACCACCTCTTACATAGAGACACCCAATCGTAGAAGCGCAACTGCGAGTAAGCAAGGCCTGGCATGGCAATGCTAAGTTCGCTGCATGTGCTCTTCTTCAAGCTGGGGCAGTCGTGCAATTTCTTTATCTGTCAACGCCACCTGACTCGTATGTTGTCAGAGCACCGCAACGTGCCGCAAAATTTCGATGAGACAAAATCAACAGGCAATGCAGACACAGTGAGGGCCACACGCCACAATAAGCAAGAATGTGCAGGAATCCTTCTAAAACCTGCATCAGACGAAGTCAGTCAGATCAGGCACTTCACAGTTGACTGCTCGATTCCTTAAACATGTCCTTTCGATTGAAGGCAGGGAGGCCTTGAAACGATTCCAACTGCGGCCCATTGACGAGGTCATGATCTCGGGGCATCAGATCATCACAGCGAGACTGCCGACCACACTACCGTCTGAGAATCTGACCTGGAAGTGCAAACAATCCAAAAGCTGCTGCAACTGTCAAGTTCGAGGTGTGTCTGCTACGCAAGGGCATCCACCAGGCTGCCATGGTCATGCTCTGAGCACTGCCGCAGTCGCCTGCGCACCGATGGACTCGTCTGACAGCCGAGCTGTCCGCTCCTGCGTGCAGCATGCAGCATGCAGATTCAGTCCCACAGAACACCTGACACACTTGGGCATGCTCTATCTGCTTTTGTCCGAACGAAACCAAGTCCAGCATTGCTGCCGTTGGGGACAGAGGACTCCCAGGCTCACGCGCCATGCTTGCAGGGCTTTGGAAGCCAAATCTCCATACAAAGCATGCAGATGAGTAGTCACGGTTGAACTGCTGGAACTGTCGACCTCTGCCTTCCAGCTAGAGCCCAGAAAAGGCTTATCAAGCAAAACGCTGTGCATATCTGTGCACGTTGCAGGCTGCACGAAACTGGCACTGGCACGAGATGCTGAGAAGTGGTTCTTTGTCTCTTTGTCTTTGGGCAGACTTTCGATCCCATCCTAGGGAGTCTCCGTCAGCTGGGCCAGAACAAGTACAGCCACGACCACAGCGTTACCTTCCTCAAAGCTCGAAGCAAGACGACTTTCCGCATAACTTCCCAAAGCGCAGCGGATTCCTCACCGAGCTATTGACAGTGGAGAAATGCGAGTTGCACAATTTACGCCTTGCACCTACATCGTACAATCCGAGCAGCGGGAGTGATGCGTCGTCCGCCGTGGCTGTCCCTGCTGGTTGCGAAGAGAGCGCCTCTTCCAAATGGTTGAAGATCAGCCTCAACCAGACTTGCCGCACTTCCGCATGATGCCAACAGACGCCAGCAAAAGCAAAAAACGTGTTATGGAAATGGTGTTGAGTCTTGCAGCTCTTCTACTGCTGTCACATGATTTGCTTTAAACGCTTAGTCTCCGGCCTATTGTTGTAGATAATGCGTGGGAAGTCTTTGTCACTTGGACGGTACTCCGAGTGCAGCCCAGCTCGGAAATTTGCAGATTCTTTGCCGATGCGCTCGATGTGCGACCTGAGGGCAAAGAATGCACAAGAGCAAAAGGCGGACAGATGACAAAAACATCCGGCGCAAACTCGTTGAGCTGACACCTGCGTGCTGCTATATCCCATGAACAGTTCGCAACTCCTTTCCGTTAAGCTGGCTTTCCGTCAAGCAGGGGAGAACTCAGCTTCGCCTGGACGAACGAGGTGCTGGGGAGAGACAAGCGTTAAATATGTTGTGGCAACTTTCTGTGTCTTGCAAGTTTGCATCAAATATATCACTACATGATGCGATGGTATGTGTATCCCGCTTTTTTGGTGCCTGCAGGGGCCTACACCGAAAGAACCTCAAGAGATGCCTTTGGCCAGAAAGCCTGCTGTGCGACGGCGAAATCTGAGGCGAGCTGGGAGAGCGAAGCTTGTCCAAGGAGCCTTTTTCATGTCTGATCCTCTTGGCCACAGTATTTGACGACCACCAGCATCAAGGAACATGCGTAAGCACTCAGAAGCCGGATCCGCTCGCATGACCACCGCAGCTAGCGCCGCAACAACAATTGCGCTGCCACTTCCTGGAGGTAGAACGCGAACGGCCCCTCAGGCTACGAGGGGCCAAGTCTTCCGTCCCGAGATGCAGAAAACTGGCTCCAGAACCACGAAGGACACCGGGAGTGGCGCCACGATGACAAAGCCGGTGAAGAACACCAAGACGGGCAATGATCGTATTCCACTGGCGACGGTACATGTGCATTGAGCCCCGGAAGAGACGGGAGTGCAATGCCAGGTCGAGGTAGAGCGTTTCCAACAGGTGCAAGACGAGTGGATCCTCAAGGCCGCGTGTTGGCGCCGAGCAACCCGCTTAGTCTTGGGGTTGCGGATATGAGCATAAGCAACTGAGAGAAATTTCCGGACCGGAAGTGATGGCGTACACGAGCAGCTGCCTAGGGTGGCCCGAGGAGTCAGGTGAAGACCGAAGGCCCAAAGAGCCAAAGCCGCAGTAGAAGCCGAGGTTTAAACAGCGGGAAAGCCAAAAGTGCTCAAGGCTTTGTCCATCTTGCGCTGTGTCGACAGAGCAAAGCCGCCCTGCAGATCAAGATCACCTCAGGGGCCACCATCATGGAAAGGCCCGCAGTACGCTCGATGTCACCCGACAAAAGAAGCAGCAGACGCAGCCACCGCTCCACGACGCAGGGCAGTGAGGCAGAGGCACAAGCTGGGTCAAGGTGACGAAAATCGCCTGCAATTATAGACTGGGGCCAACGAGGGCAAGCTTTCGAAGGAGCAGCTGGTGGGCGACCACGGGACTGTCCGTCGCTGCGGTTCTGCGGGGAGCAGACGAGCAAGCCGCCGGGGTAAACCAAGCACGTACGGCAAAGCGGAACACAGCACCCGGCACAAGGGCACGGGCACGGCTTGCTGCGAGGCCGTTTGCGGCAGAGCCCAGCAAGACTCTACCCTACGAGCCCACTGTTAGGGTGGTGCTTGGCACACCACTTCAACCAAGTACTAAAAGCCCTGTCCTCGCGGATGTTGATGTGTCCTGGAGCATTTCACGGAAGTCAAGGCAGCCGTCGGCGATCGCCCATCCACTCGACAGATTCACGGGATTCCTGAAACAACCTCGAGGGGCTTGGACTAGGGCTAGGGAACGAAACCCTAAACCCTAAACCGAAGCAGTCCTGCAAGCCAATTGCAAAGTGTACCGTGACCCGCGCACGCACGGTGTTCTCCGATTGCAAGGCGGCGGCCATACACAGCCTCAAAGCTGTGGCTGCAGTTGCTGTCGAAGGCCACACGAGAGTCTGCATCGAATTGGCCATGAACTGAAAAGTGCTCGCAAGCAGGAGTAACCGAACCTGGGCCCAAGTAACCTGAAGAAACCAACGCTTATTGCGCAGAAAGCACAGGGCTCCCTAGAGGGAGACCCGAAATCGCAGTTAAGTCACCACAGCCCGCAAAAGCCACAAGCCCGTGGAAGCAATGCATCTGGAAAAAGTAACTTACTGCCGGCTGCACAATGCTGACATAGGCTCCAGCTGAAGCCGCTAAACACACGAGGAAACAACGCCGGTGGGTGTACGGCGCGAGAAGTTAATCGCATGCCGGTTGTGTCCGTTGAGGGGCGTGCGTCACCATTCCCGATTCCGATCCATAAACGAAGGAGGAGGCACGAAGTGCCAGTCGTGGACCGCACCGCTGCAACTGAGGCTTTGAAAGGCTCAGGTGCAGGAGTCCAGCACGGGAGTGAGCGACGGCCCAGTTGTCATCCTCTCCCGAAAGGCAAATGAAGAAAGCCTCATCGCCATGGGGAGCCGTCAAGTGTAAGGGCTCCGGCACAAACGGTGTAGCAAAAGACCAGGTCCGGGAAAGAGGCGCGAAGGTCGGCTTGAAGCAGGGGCGCCACAGCAAACAAGCAGAAGAGTCAGAAGAACTATGCAAAGGATAGACTCGGATCGCAAGGGGGGTGCCTCGGGCGCCCACGCAAACTTGGCTTAACACAGCTAAAGTTGGCCTGCGAAAGAGCAGCACATGGATCCAGCAGAGCCGAGGAAATTTCAATATGTTGGCCAGCCTGGGAAACAGCAAGCTTCCCACCGAACGTCTTGTTTATCGTGCGGTGCACCCTCGCTCGCTGTATGGAGTTCCTTTCAAGTGACGATCGCATGACTGCTCAAGTTTGCTCTCGCTCTCAACTCAGGGCCGGAACTGCCCTCCGCGACGCTGCCATACTCAGTGGTGCTGATGCTGCCAACCCAGCTGTGGGTTTGGTGCCCATCAGGGGAAACGGAAGTGCAATGTTATTGCAGGCCGTGTTTTGGCGCCGATATCGACGACGAGACCGGTGTGGTCTTGGTTTCTCGCCAACGCACGGGCGTCCTTTTGAAGACGAGGAAGGGTTGCTGCTCCTCGCTTCTTAAATTGCTAAATAACACAGCTCATTATGACCTCCTAAGTTCATGAGGATGAAAAGCTAAACCCAAGCAGTTCTTTCAGCCCTCAAAGAACTAACCAATACAATTCGCTTGCATCACCGCAACAAAACCGAAACACGTGGGTTTGCAAAGGAAGGCTGGCCGCGAGGCTTGCCCACGCTCAGCCAAGCCATCTGGATCCGTCTCCAAGGCTTCGTCTTGCGCCGACTTCGATCGGCAAGCATGTCATCGGCTTGGTGAGGGGTCCGTGGGGAGGACGCTCGTGCTGAGCAAGCCTGTCAGGAGGGGGCCAGCCGCTTCGCGAAGGCGTCGAAGATCTGCATGATCTGCATCCGAAGTAGCGGCGTTAAAGTTGAAGGCGTTCACTCAAAACTCACAAAAGCAAGCACAGCAGAAGTCCCCCTTGTTTTGAAAAGTCCGGACGGTGAGTCAGGACGGTGTTCGTCCCAGGCCGGAGGGCAGACCAGGGACGGAACGGTACCAGCTGACGCTGTCGACCTGGCTGGAAAAACTGCAAAAAATCCAGAGCCGAGCCAGGCAAACTGCCAGTGCGGGAGGCGAGGGTGAGCCGCAGCTGCAGCGACGGACGCGGTTCCGTCGCGTGTCTAGACAAACAAACCCACTCCTGCCGGAATCGTTCATTCGACACTAGTCCGTTTCCCTCTAAACTCACAAAAGCAGGCGGCAGCAGCCTTGTTTTTTGTTCCGACGCCGAAAAGTCCAGACGGTGTTCATCCCAGTTCACAAGGCGGACTCCAGGGATGCAGCGGGCGGTGTCGCCCTGGCTGTAAAACCAAAGTTAACCATTGAGCTGGAAGGTTGGCCGCAGCCGAAGTACTAGCCAAAGGCGCAGATCAAGACGGCAGCTCGGGCAACGGAGCAAGCAAGCCATCGAAAGCGGCAGCAGAAGGAAACAGAGCAAGAGAGAGAGCGGAGGCAAACGCTGACCAGACAGGGTCCACAGAGCGACTGAGCCCGTCGGCAATGTCATTCAAAATATCCGGGACATGAGCTATGCAAACACAGACCAGATTTAAACGTGCTGGATGAGAAGGAAGGAACGAAGTATGTGACCGAAGCCCTTTGCCATGGAGAGGGCTCCTCCCTCCCTCTCACCCTCTCTCCCTCCCTCCGAGGTGTCTGGGCCAACAGGTCCCAGGAGGCGATGAAGTTCTGAAGTGGACCACCAGGAAAACAGGGCTTGGGCTGGTTGCATCCAAGATGCCAAGTGTCTTGATCCACTCGACCGGAAAAAGCACGTTTCATATGGTCGATTGCAAACAGCCAGGTGGTGATTGCTGCTTCCACCTCATGTTTGCATTTCTAAACACCGTATCCGTGCAACGGTCAAAGTAAGGACCACTCACTGCAGAATTCGACAAGTTACATCCGGACATCCCTCGCCTTTTCCAGCATCGCAGGCTCGCAGACCCTCACACTTTGCAGTCCGCAATGCCACCCAGGCAGGCGGCAAGCGTGGTGGAGCACAATCGGAGGTCCCCGAGATCCAATGAGGCAGAAAAGCTCGACCTGGCTGACTGCGTGGCTTGCGCATACAACGCCAACAGTCCAATCGCTCGAGATTTTCGCACTTCTAATGGCCTGCATCTGACTTTCGGAGGAAGCACGTCTTCACGCCGTACTGCTGTCCGAAGGTCCAGTGACTGCACCCTTCCACTTCGCTGCAAGCGCGGCTGCAAACACCAGCATCGACCGCGGCGAACTTGTCTGGCGGCGGCTTGCAGGAATGCCAAGAGCTGCCCGACTCTATCTGCCTTATCCCGCTGCTTCACAGCCCCTGCCTGTTAGTTTGCAGTTGTTGAGAAAGCATCCAGTGTGGCCGTACAATGAGAGATCCGCAAAGATGCCATTCTCGCCAGCATGTCGGAGGACAACTCCAGGATGCCAGCAAGCAGGGTACGATGTGGCCTCGGAAGGATGGAAGCAGGCTGGCATGTGCTAGGCTTCCCAAGCACGCGAGCCCTCGAGTCCCATGCCTCCGCAAGCTCGGTTACAAAGAGGAGGTACATTGGAAGCGCACTCGCGGCCGAGTCGCGCTCGCCGCCGCCAACTCCGGGGGAACTTCTGCAGGCTCTGCATCGATGCAGCAGCGCTCGAAAGTAAAGTCACCACCCCAGCACGCGCCGTTTCCCTGCCAGAAAAGCAGGCAAGCAGATGCACTAGCGACAGGGCACTATGATGCAAGGCCCTCCTCGGGACCAAATTTGGCAGCACCTCTGCTCACAGCTGCGCAGAAATCAGCTTTGCCGCGGACCACACAACGCTGCTTTACGCTGCAAAGGGACAGCACTGTTCCCAGGTGACACCATCCATCCAGCAGGTCTCATCTCCCTTGGAGTCCACCGCAGGGAGAAACAGCAAGCATCGCCACAGCCATCTCACGCACATGTCATGAAGCGACACTAAGCGGTTGTGCAGACTCCCGGTGTCTGCACAACATTGCTACTTCCGACCTCTTCCATGCTCTTGAGACAGAGGTCGCTGCAGCTATATTGGCTGTTCTCAAGCCATGACAATCATGGACAGCACAAGTACGCAGCACAGCCGCTACATCTTCTCTGGCACCAAACGCCGAAAAATCATCGTGACTCCGATGCCCGCTAGAGTCCAGCAACCGACATGCAAAGCTCGGCCAGACGGCTCTGCAAGCAGAGTGAGCATTCCGGCTAGTCACTGTCTAACCAATCATCTGCGTTGAGATCGATGTCCTGGCACAGCTTCGTCTCAGCACTCGGGATGTTGGATAACGGAAGCAGCACGGACATATCCAACACCCAGCCCTCATCGGGCTGGTTCGTCTTCCAAGCCTCGTCGTCATCGTCGTCCTCATCCAACTCTCCAAGATCGTCCTGCGCAGTCGAAAGTTGCAAGCTAGCGCGCGATTCCGATTGGGGGGTCCTCCTGTTTCTGCTCTTCCAGATCCTCATCACCCTCGACATACTCCAACCTGAGCAGAGAGAGGTCTCAGCTCTCAGCTCTCTCTCAGCTCCCAGAGCTCCCAGTCCCATGCAGCGGCACTCTGACCACCGTCTCCGTGGCTTCCCTCTCGAGGACCTACAGAATCGGGAGCAATCATCTTCTTCTGACAAAACCCGGATCTTATGTTCTGTGGTCTCGGAGGAAGCCCGACACGCTGTGAAAATGTCTATGGCAAAATCATTGAGGGTTAGGTCCGGGAACAGCAAAAGTTTCGTGCCATGGCCTTGTCATCTCTATGCCATGCTCAGCTCCTCTTGCACCGAACTGCCACAAACGCCCGGCAAGTGCCCAGCCCCGTCTCTCGGGCCTGTGCCCTCAAACACTACTTCGCATCTTTCTCTACGAGCAGAACCTGCTTAGCCACGTCATTGAGCAAGATGTGACTCGAGAAACTGTGTCTCGCGCGTCAACTTGATAGTGGAAGAAGCAGGGTACACGTTGCTTGCGGCGCCCGTTCGCTCATGCGGCTGTGGCTGTTCACACAAGGGATCGTGCACGAAAGAGTTCCCATCCCATGCTTGCGCCTCTGGCCACAGCCCTGCATGTCATTGCGAACAACTGAGATCCATAAATGAACCAACCCATGAAATTCACATTCAATCAGCATCTGACTGCCTCATTCCCCCTGGATACCAGGCCGTGAAGTCGACCATGCATGTACATCAAGGTTCTGTAAGAGGCCTGAGCCAGGAATACTTGTTACAGAAACCTTTTCAACTTCCACGTCCTTTCTGAGCATCGTGCACATCTGGAACTCGTGGCATCGTGAAGCGGCCTTGGTGCATTGGTAGCTCTTGCACAAAACGTCGTGCATCGAGGAACCGATCACAACTGCAGGGGCGCAGGAAGCTTGTCTCTCTAGGAAAGACAAACGCACATGACCAGTGTCCAGACCAACCATTTGTTGTCTTTTGTGACTTTTACACAATCTTGCTAACATACATACACAAGAAGAAGCGGAACCGAAGAAACATCCTACTGTTGCCCTGCCCTGAGTCCGTTCAAAACATGCGAACCGCAATACTGCGCAAGGCTAACCAAAGCAAAGTCAACTTCAGTACGTCGCTTGCCTGGAGCCGGGACTACTTGTGAGCAAATGCCCCGCGAGCAAACGAAACTGTAAATCCGCACGAGCCCTAGCTAACTGCATCTCGGGGTTTGTCCAAGATTGTGTCGCATGACCCTTCCCAAACCACAATTAGGCTTCACATTTACACGAGGTTGCAGCTCCCGAAACCTCCTGCATCTGGCTAGAAGCTTTGACAGGGTAGGGGCGCATCGAAGTCTCAGGTGAGACGTACGAAGCACGACAGGTCGCAGCTTGTCGATAGGCTTTATGTGGTGCATCGTGCTCACTGCACCGCCAGAAGGAATTTTGCTGAAGGCTTCGGGGCTGGAAAAGCTGTGCAAAAGCGCAAAGGCAGCTGCCGGAGAGCATCTCGGAGCGCAGGGTAGGAACGAATGAAAGTACCTTCGCACAAGTCTCTCTGAGTCGCCTTGCTGCCAAACAATGTCACCTGGTCCAATCTCATCTCTGCCATTGGGCGCACCATGGTGATAGACCACCCGCTGCATCCACGCACAATAAACCTTCAACGAGTCTTCGAACTTCAAGGTTCACAAATAACGAACAATTGTTGTGCACATCAGGCGCTGGACGCTGGCAGATGAAAGGCGTGCCTGACCCTCCATTGGTTTCTCCATCAGCCGCCTGGCCTCAAAGCAGAGGCTTGGGCTCACGCCTTCAGCTGGAAGTGCTGAAGGCAAAGCCTTCCACGAGCTCCAAATGCACCAGGGTCGGAACGCATTCTTGCATCAGGTCATAGGCTTCAATGCTCGAAAGTTCCGAGACCGATGTGTCCTTGCAGAACCATGCAAGCTCCTTACGACACCCTTGCAGATACCGGACATCACTGCCGCAGGCGGTGTTCTCTCGCAGGACTGCACCAAAAGGCAAGACCATGCAAGACCTATGGAGTACTCACGTCTGCCATGTATTCACGTCTCTTGAAAATTGAACGGGTGCTCGAATGGCTCTAACCCCAGCTGGATGCACACGTACACACGATTCGAAGCCATGCCAAATATACACTGAGCCGGACATACTAAAGCATTCGAACGCCTTTCAACTTCAAGTGATCCAAGTGGTTTGATGGCTTGGTACGGAAACATTCCAGACACAAACTGCGAGACGCAAAATGGACCAGAACCGGCCGGCAGGTTGAAAGATATCGAAGAACGGGAACGTGAAGATTCTACTTGCTGTCGGACAGTCAAGATGATGGGCACACACCGGCACCAGCAGAAGTCTAAAGAGAACCAGGTGTCCATCAAGTCTCGATCTTTGAGCACCAGCGTCTTGTCAAGCGTGCTGCTATCCTGCCGACAACAGTAGCAGGACTATACCCCTGCTGTGTAGTCAGATACCGTCTACTGAAGGAATAGTGTGGTGGGCTTGTGCTGCACATGCTGGCACAGTGAAAAGGCAGCGTTGCGAATGCTGGCTGGCCTTCGATCTCAGTCCCTGCCGCAGAACTGGAGCCAGAGAGATATTACTGCCTGATGTTAGCAAGACACAACACAGATGACATGCTTGCAAAACTCGTCCATAGCCTGCAGTCTCCGGACGACTTCCAAGAACAGCCCTTCGACCAGGCAATGAGAGAGACATCGGCAGATGTCGACGATAGAGGCTCGTGCACTTTTCGCCTCTTCCCAGCGTCCTGGCATTCGTTTCTCACGGCTCACGAGCTCCCGATTCTGAAGCGACTTGAGGCGTCCGAATGGTCGACGCACGCCAAGCCCGGAGTCTGAGATGGCGCGTGGAACGCGAGAGGGACACCAGAGGAAAAGGACGAGGGCAGCACATCAGCTCACCCAAAAAGTGGCACGTTTCACGCTCCCGGCAGAGTTGATTCGGGGGAGTCCAAGAGTCCAAGGTTGGTCGCACCTGCACGGCCTGCTGATCGGCTTTCGTTCTCTTCCTGAAAAGCTGGAACCGGTTATCTCCCGTTTGTGCAGTGTGCTGATGCTGAGGCACAGGCTGAGGAGCAGTTTCTGCTGGACCAAGTACAGTTGCAGCGGCCCGTTGTTTGGCCTGGCTCTTGCACGATAAAGGCTTCTAGATGCATCCAGCACCCTGAGTCTGCCACTGGCACTGAGTTGGCTGCGTCCTTGATCGACAGATTCGAACGGACCCGGAGTCTCCACTGCGCTCATCTGTCCGTGGTGATGCAAGCTTAAGCAAACCAGATTGCTGGAAAACAACAATGTACCCCCCGCACCCTGTACTTTGTGCTCTTCTTTTCTACACCATGTTCACTCCTTGTCCTGTGCCCAAGCAGCAGGGGGTAGTGGCTAAGAGGGGAAGCCAGGTCGGGTCATCCGTCGATTCTTCGAATACACTGAAAGCCAAGAAAAAAACGAAGTGGAGAAGAGCATAAGCAAGGGCCCACGACAAAGGCACTTTCATGTTTCTGATTGATCCGGCTTCCATCCAATCCTTTGCCCTCCTAAAGAAAGAAGACAATATTACCTTTTGTTGCAGTTGTGTCTCTTGCCTTCTGCAATCTTCTGCTCCATTAACCCTGCCCTTCCCAGAGGCGCAACACTTATCTCAGAGCTCGCCCCGTGACGTGCTGCCATCCGAATCAAACCTCTTTGGAACGCATCGCGTTTAGCAGTTTGGCACATACTTCTGTAGAACCGGTGGTCTGGCAGAACGGCACCAAAGTCTCTGAGGACCACACATCTGCCCGAGGCTGCCCCGCGGCTGCCAGAGCTTCCTGCACAAGACAGTGCCAGCGGTTCACAGTGCAACGCAACAGCACGGCAAGGTTACCAAAGAGTCGCTCGTCGCACGAAGTGGCGACAACGCTGATGCTCTCAGGACCAGGCCACAATTGCAGCACCTTTCTTGGTCTTTGGCGGGGTCACCTGCGCCAAACGTGACTTGCAATCTCCTTAGGACCCTAGGAGACCTTCCAGTAAAGCACGCCCAAGGCAGCAAAGACCTGACATCCACACCCGTAACCGCCGTAACCCCAATACTGCAGAGGCCCGGCAAGCTTTTCGGCAGGCAAAGGTCTCTTGAGGATCAGTGCCGACTGGTGACCGGCATTGTCGGCGCAGCTCACCCGTGTTAGATGCGCTGGCAGCCCTGCTGGGTTCTACTGATCTTTGTTTGTCAAAACTTTGTCGGCGACGTAAACCATGAAGGGAAACGAGATCGCCCATTCCATCGAGATGGCGAACAACCCAAACCTGGCGAAGCAGTGCCGTGCGATGCCGTGGGCACGGCAGATCCAGGATGGACCTTGAGAATCCTGGACACTGAGCCCAACCTTGTGATGTGAAGCGCTCCGAAATGCTCGCCACCAGCATATGCAGCTGGGCCAAACAGCGCCCCCAGAACGGCACAACCTGCCTTAAAAATGGACTGGTGCTTCCTGTCAGCTACTCTGATGCAACATGTCGTGTCTCAGCACCTCACAACATAGGGCTTGAAGACTACCAGATACTCAGCCTCGAACAGCAGGTTGCGGCGACAGCTGCTCAACAGGTACTAGCACGACAGTCTGCTAGACTTCCTCCAATCCAAGCCACTACACAGCCGAAGTTCGCCCACAGAGCCACAAACCAGACCGGCAACACTCCAAGAGCAGGAGAATCTGTAGAAAAGGACATTGTCCCGAAGGCCACCTTTACAGGAATGCGCACAGCATGGCATGGGAATATCCGGGAATTGCGTGGATGCGATGCTCTGAAGCCCCTTGCCTGGATGGATTCCTCAGTGGCGATCCAACATGATTCGCTGTTCTGGCACTGAGTTACGGAGCAGTGCTGACAGAAATCCAGCACCAGGCCCATGACGACGTACAATGCTATGACCTGAAGATCACAACTCGCAGCAACGACACAGGAAGTGTCCAGGACTTTGTACCAAGCTCTGCCATCCCTGCAACAAAAAACTTAAGTTTCGGCAAGATACTAAGAGAAGCTGACGACGAGAAGGGGATGTCGCAAAGGCAAGCGTTGCCAACGCGGCAACTGCAATGGGACCCTGCCACGGCTGCTTGGCTTCTGGACTGAGTGCGCAAGCAAACCTGAGCTTGCACCACCGTTGTCATGTCCTGGCTGCAGTCGAGTGCCAGGCCAACAGAGGTTGCATCCGACGCAGAGGCAGACGCTGCGTGCCTGCGACGGAGCCCTGCCCGCCCATGCCCTTCACATCCCTTTCACTGTTCACAACAGCTCATAGCCATGCCAAGAAACTATTGCCATGGATGCGCCAACACCTGTCCGCAACAAGCGAACGTCTCGCTTCCTGCACCGATGCAACGTTGTAAACTATCTGGACTGGGGCACCGACCCTTTGCTTCCCCAACCAATGGTGACGAAATGCTGCTCTGCATGGAGAAGCCAAGTGCACGAGACTCTGAAGAAAGACTGATAACCGTGAGTCACGGCGGGCGTGCTGCTGCTGTAGATGTTTTGGCTTCTTGGCTTCCTTCCCAGCTGTCTCTTCCGGGCTCGATCCGAGGCTGCGGAACGGTTTGCAAACAAAACAAAGGGGCAGACGTGGCTTTGGCACCTGTGCGAAGGAGGGTTTAGCAGCGGTGCCATGCGCCACCACCAGCATCAACCTCTCTGATCGCCTTGTCGGGCACAGGAAACCCCTAACCCGTCCCATCGCACACACACAAGACTGACGGTGAGTGCAGGGGCGCCACGTGTTTCTCATGGCGAGCTGTGCACCTCAACAAAAGCATGAGTTGTCACGAGGTCAAATCAAGAAACACGTCGCACCTCGAGCACATAAGACTGTGCTTCCCAGCCTTCGGATCGACTGATGGAAGCGTGAGACATTCAGAATTCCGGAGGTCCCGGCTCGGTCTTCGAAACTGAGAAAGTCGGTGCAACCTCAAAGCAACCAAAATCGCCGAACCATGTTCAAGGTGGACTAGATTTATACCCAGCCGCTGTTCGGACAAGCGCGTCCGATCCTGGCGGCATACCCGAGCTGAAGAAAACATGCGCATCGATTCCGCAGTTTGCTTCGCAGCGCATTGGCTGCATTGTAGGTACAAGTCTTTCTTGTCGATGCAGGTATCGGGCCGCTGCCCGAAACGCTGGACGCGGCCCACAGCATGCAGGAGATGTTCAATGGCAAATCCCAATCCTAGAATCTAGATGCGTGAGGGTTTGTTGTCGATATTGCTTTGGTTGCTCACTTCACCGAGCTAATAGAGATGATTTGTGGCTGCCAAGTGTTGGGGTAGAAACTGATCACTGCACTACCCACATATTCCCTTGCAGGCACACGCACTGGAACTCTGTTTTCACAGACGGCGCTCAGTCGTAGATCTGTGCAACGGGAATGGCTCGGACTCTTGGATCAGACACCTACAACTGAGTTGTAAACTATTGGCGTCTGGCAGTTTCTTGAGCCACAAAGTTGCGCTTAGGAGCACTTGAAAGTATATACACGCTACAAAGCAGGAGTGTGAATGAGTTGTCGGTAGAGCAGAGTCTGTTATGCAGGCCTGTGGTACCTTGATCAGTACTCGCTCTCACAGCTCTCATCGTGAAACCAACGAAATGGACGAGGAACAGAGGTCTGTTCGCACCCCCATGAGTTAGGCCATTGGCCTTGCTCACATAATAAAGCGAGTCGCCATTTGACCAGAAGAAGTAAGTGTCTTATCCGCCGCAACGTTGCGAAATGTAGATACAGGCCTTTGGTTGCCAATTAGCAATGGTGTGACACTTCTCTGTGTCAGTGACGATCCCCCGAAAAATGCGTATCGGGATCAGAGCGTCATCGAAGAAAACGGCAGCGTGATAAGGATCACCGCGAAGATGCCGGTGTCACAAAGTTGACTGAGCAACGCATGATGTAGGCGTTCGGGAAGAGGATCACCATGTGCTATCACGTTCCCAGCGACGGTACCACTCTCCCAGCGACGGTACCGGTCGCGTTCTCGTTCGGGATGCGCCGGATCTGATGCTTTTCCCTTTCCTCTGCCTTTGTCATTCCATCGGTTGGCATTGCCCCGGTTCGATGGCCGCCATTTTGGTTCTGCCGGTCTGACAGTAGCTCGGTCGTCCACAGTCACGGGCTGATCTCGAACACAAGATTGTCCAGGATCCAAGTACTCGGAGGCATCGATGTGTGTAACGGCTTGGGGATGCCTACTTGTCGAGTGTCCACAGGTGACTTCGTCAACTTCTGAGTGTACCGCTCTGGTATCCTGACGTCATAGTTGGCGAGCAGAGCAGCTCGACGCGGTCGTGGCCGTTGTGGGGATACTGCCACTGGGTCAATGCACAGGTACTCCCCGTAGGCGGTTGCCTCAGCATCGCAAACATGGATTTGCCTGTCACCTTGGCGACGAGAGTCTGCAAGATCAACTCATGTGCATTTCCCGAACAGATTGTGCTCGTTGTTCAAGATAGGTGTTCGGGTTGAATGCTTCCCACGGAATGCCCATTTGTTGAGCACCTGGCATTTGCTTGGAGAGCAACTGATTGGTTCGGAATGTACGGAACAAGTATGTTCCCTCAGGATCTGAAGCATCGTTTAGGCCTCGTGTGAAAGCCAGAATTTCCGCGTCGTTGACGTCCCGAGAAATGTGTGTGTCCGGGTCAACGTCACAGAGAGTAGGCCAATGTCCAGGAACATCATACCGATTCCGATTCTGGAAACCGGCAGGCATGTGCTCATACTTGAGGTTAGCCCACTTGGTGTTCCCAATCCACGACTTGTGCATACAGAGCACCACAATGTAGGCCATGTATGTAAATGACACGTCGATGCACCACGCAGCTGGAGCACTGGGGCAGTAGGGAACTTGCATTGATACTCTTGCCTGAGTAAGAACCCGATCGGAGATGGAGATTCTCCTGTAGGATCACCGGGAGCCGCTCTGCAATCTCATCCTGGTCCTCATCTTCATCATGTTCCTCTTGCTGTTCTTCATCAGGTTCAGCTTCGTCCGTCACGTCGGCCTCATCGACTTCCATCTCTGGCGCGGGCATCGTCATGACTTTTTCCTCTTCGTCTTCATGAGCATTGGCGTTGGCGGATGTTGCTGCTGTAGCTGCCCTCATTGCACTGGCAATCTTATGATGCGGGCCCTCCAAAGGAGAGTCCCGTTGTGGAGCTGTTCTCTGGAACTTGCCATATTATGACTTGAATACGGAGAAGCATCTCGTACAACGAGCGAGACAGGATGGAATCATTTCCAAGCATGCGGGACATAGTCGTGCCCTGACTTCTGTGTCTCTTGCAACCCGATTTTCTTCTTCAGGTCGCATGCTCTTGATGGCGAACTGAATGGCTTCCTTGACGAGCTGTTGCCTGCGTGCATCCTCACGATGATATTCGTCATGTTGCGCTAGGAGTCTCAAGTAGTTCTCTCTTGCAGCATCATGCGGTCCGTTTGGTAGCTCGCACAGAACGCTCATGACCTTCTGAGGGCATCATTCATCTCGAAACTTTATCGTCAATGGAGGGGGCAGGTAGTCCATGATCACCTCGTCCTCGAGATCGTAGTCTAGGATTTTGTCGATGATCTCTGAGACATACATATCGTTGGGATCAGGTACGCAGAACCATATTTCTTAGAGAGCCGCCAAAGGCGTGGCCCTACTCCCTGCACCCTGTACTTCGTGGCCATGTTGCGTCTGTCCCAAGGAGCGAAGATGCCAAAGTGTGGCTGTGTAAACTCCCCGAAGAACTGTCTGCAACTTCCATTCCAGGCAAAATGCCACTGAAGATTGTGACAAGCCGTGCTGTGGAACGAACCTCGTAGGGCTTCGACCAATGGCATCGAAGGATGTATAGCGAACCTGTTCGGATCGACTCTCATGAGCCCTATGTCAGGATCAAATGACATTGAGTGTCCGCTGGCTGTGCGAACTGCACGGGGCCGAATCCAGTTGTCATTGAGAGCAAGGTCCTCATCTGTGATTTGCTGAGTCCCCTGTGCTCTTCTCTGTTCACCTGAACAGCTCGTGTAACAACTCTGTCGGAAAAGGTGCAGCATCCGCCACAGCCTGCCCCATCACTGTTTGGTGGGTACGTAATCCTGATGCCCAAGAACTGGAGTCTGATTTTCGCGTTGTTGGCCTTCGTAGCGTTGAGATGCTTGCCTTCAAACAAAAGTTGTAGGTGGTCATTCAGCTGTCTGGTACGCCTGTGGCGGTCGCGATGGTCGAGAGGATTGTCAATCCTCCGGATTCATGCGTCCACAGGGTGTCCATCGTGAAGATGTCATCAATGCTCACCCATCCAACTTCACCACAGCGAATAGTAGAAATCTTGCGGCGATTGATCGACGCACATTGATGCGTTCGACCCAGGCGATGCCGTAGATCTGAGTGGATGCAAGATAGAGTCTATCAGCCCAATTTGCATTCTTCTTGCGATGATGGCTGATGAGTCGCGGAGCTTGTGCAGCTTGAACTATACCCCAGTCCTCGTGCACAAACGATGCACCCTTGGACGGGAGGAACTCTAGGAATTATGTTGTCGCCCATGTGCTTGTAGCCTGGGTTCGTGTAGCCATGGAAGCTTCCCTGAGGACGTGGACACTTCGGAGGATCACCTGGCCGGGGAAGACTCATGTCTCGAGCACTTGTCACTCGTTTGGTCTCTACCACTTCATCATGACTTGCCGGTCCGAGTTGCCCGAGTTCTTCACCACAGACATGGAATCTTCCACGGTGATTTCCCACGATGCTGCGACATTCGTGAGCTGCGTAGTACCTGAAGATGGCTGAGGAGGGCTGGAGATGTGGGCCTACAGCAGCCGGGCCCGAGTATCCTTTGGCGAGGTGTGGACAACATCGTCAAGCGGGTTCTTCAGGACTATGGAGAGATTCAGTTCAGAGTCAACATGTTGAGGTACGCCCTGGAAGTAGACGCCAAGCCTACCTTGAAGTCTGTTCAAAATTTACATCAATCTCTTCTTGCACAGGTGGCCTTCAGGGGCAGACAGAAGACTACAACGAATCCCTCGGGAACGGAACGTCCTTGAGGTCACCACAGCATCCACGGCTGATGATAGCTCCCCTGCCCAAGGCGAACAAAGGTGCTCCTTGCAAGTTCTTCTTGACAGACCAAGGATGCAAGGGAGCAGTGGCCTGCAAGTTCAGCCATGATGTTGACCGAAAACAGCGGCAGGGACAATGCTGGACATGTGGAAGCAAGCAGCATGTTGCCAAGGCGTGCCCCACGCAGGAGAAGGACAACAAGAACAACAACCCCAACAGCCCTACACGGTCAAGCACGGCTAGATTGATCCGAAGGTACCAACAGCAATCCTACAGTGACAGCTTTGGTCCGGAAGTTGCGCACCCTACGCCTCCTACAGGATCTCCTCCGTCGTTTCCCGCAGCATATAACATGTTGAGAGCATGCTTTGCTTTCGCCTTCACCGCGTTGTGAAATGCTTGATCAGGATGAGATGGTTCATCGAGTTCTTTCTCCGGCAGTCCTCCTTCGTCGATGGTTTCCTCGGATATAACAGGAGCAGCTCCCACACCATGAGAGGAATCGACCAGGGCATCATCATCTTCTTCCATCCTTTCGTCTACTCCTGAATCAAGGCATTAAGTCCGGGGAGTTGGGATGGCCTCGAGTCGAGTAGGGAAGCTTGCCGTCACCTCGCTGATGTACCTTTCCACCTCATCGTTCTTTTTTTGGAGGAGATCGCTTTCTCGGAGTTTCAGCTGTGATCAGCTCAACGGACTCTGAGGCGCAGTATCGGTAAAAGGACATCTCCAAGCCCTGGATACACGCATTCATGTCGTGGTACGTGCCCCAGCTCGAGAACTTCTCTGGATGCCTCATCGCAAGCGTAAGCATCCCCAAGGCAAGCTCGAATACGTCTCCCAACAACTCCCATTTGGGATTCGTCACATTGTGGAACAGTTCCCTTCGGTCCTCAGCGGAAAATTTTCTCTTCATGTAACCAGCATAGGCAGAATTCCCAGCGTCATCAAAGCCAATGAAGCACAGGTCGTTGTCCTTGTCATAAGCCCTGTTGGTCCCCCCCCCAGCACCTCAGCCACCCGGGCCCTTTGTACCGTTGGTTGTGCATTTTCCGCCCTAGCGAGCAAGCAGTCACAAGCAAGTGCCCTAGCAAGACAAGAAGCACAAGCGTCCCACCGCACATGCCGACACGCAAGCAAGTGTCCTCACAGTCCTCACACTCCAAACTGTGCGCCCAAGACCCAAGAAGGTCCGCACAGCATCTCAAGTCAGTTGAAGGTGCAAAGCCGAGAAGACCAAACACGAGCAGCTTCGTGGAGCGAAAAGGCTCAGCTGTACAACGAAGTCTAAAAGTCTAAAAGTGCACCACGCCCAATCTGTACAGGCAGCAAAGCAGAGGTGTAGGAGGCACCACTGTCAAAAGCGCAGGGTTGGGCTGCTAACACACGTGGTGGCGCTTGTCAAGGTAGCCAGAGGTCCGACTGAGCAAGCTTACCACTCTTGTGAAAAGCGAACCTGAAGAAACTACGGTTAAGAAAGAAAGGGCCCAGGCCGCCCAGAATTTAGTTGTGCTCGCCGTGCCACCACTCGGCCCTCGCCAGCGCCAGCGCAGCCGAAGCCACAGCAGCCCAGGCCGGCAGTGGTAGATGAGCAAGAAGTCAAAGTAGCCGGCAGCCCCCAGTACTGCAAGCGTAGAGCGCCAAGCTATCGAAACCAGAAACGAAACTGCTGCAGTGTCAAGTAGAACACCTGACTGCAGTTAGTCGAAAGGAGCGCCAAGCTCCAGCCCAACAGGTGACATGACAAGCACAAGAACATGTAACAACCGAAAGAACGTGGTTCTCTCCGCTCGCTTCTTTCTAGCCTCCCCTCCTCACTTCCTTCCTTCCTCCCCGGTTAGCCCGGCCCCCAGCAGAAAAGGATAAGGAAGGGAAAGGGAGAAATAGAATTTTTAGCGTAAACGCCTTGGACTTGGGCCCAAATCGTCCTGGTGCAGGGGGACATCCATTAGCTTCATTAGCGAGAGAGCCGTCGGTAGCACTGACCTCTCACTGTGCTCGGTCCAGTATCCATGAACCTCTAGCGGCAATCCGAGCAAACCCAGCAGACCATCAGTGGCTACCATAGCGTCGGCATATTCCACATTAGCCTCCAAGCAAAAGTGCGGGACCAGACGTGGCATCAGATAATCCCGGCTGTAGTTGGGTCTTCAGAAGTCCGCAGCCCACCTGTAGCCAGGTCTTCTCCACAAAAAGGCGGAAACAACTACGAGTAGCTCCTTCACCCGCCTGGTCGGCCCGAGGTCTTGGTCTTCCCCAAAGTCGCCAGCCTACGGCATTGCTAGCATCAAGAACCAGTTTCAGACCAACCCCTCCGACAAAATCTCGACAATCTTGTCCCTAGCCGCCCAGACAGTGTGTAGCTCGCTGCTCCTCTGGCAACTCAGTGACCCTTTCCACCCAAGCAACAGCCTTCATGATAGCATCGGGCACCCCTCCGTGCTAGCAGGTGATCTTCAGGGTAGAAGCCCCTGTTAGCAGCAGGGCGGCCCTGTCCGGGTCCAGGATCCCAGCGATGTTAGCACCGGCGCGTCGATCAGCACCAACTCATCTCATAGCTTCCTAGCCCAGATGTCCAGTTGCCGCTCTTCTCTGGCCTCCACGATGCTCCCCGCCTCTAGCAGCTTACGGTTCCGCTCCCCACTCGGGGGGCGTAGCGGGGGAGCATGCACAGGCTCCCTGCCATACCCGCCGAGTTCGAGACCTTTATCGTGGGGCGTAGTGACATCCAGGTCAAGTCATCACTGAAGTAGCCGTGCACCCTGCGGAACACCTTAGCTTCTTCTTTAGCTTCCTGGATCCAGTTGTAGACAGCTTCCTGCAGGCATTCCTCGTAGGGAACGATTAGCTCCCGAGACAGCTGCCGCGCCATGTCCGAGGATTCATCTAGCTCTAGCGAGGATAGCTCCAAGGACCAAACCCCTGGTGGGCCGTGCTAGCCGCGGCAGATGGAAGGGACTTGGCATGGTGTTCGGGGATCACAGCCGGATCCTCAATAGCCGGATCCCCCAGCACACTTGCATGGTCCCCCTCCACATGTCTGGGGATCTCGGTGGGACCTCTGTTGGCGAGGACCCTTCGTCCCCATCGCTGCTATTCGGCATAGCAGCTCTGCAAAGCAAGGCTAATTTGCTCCTCTCAGCACTTTGTGGGGCTCTTCAGCACAATGGCCACGGACATAGCACGTTGCTCATGTTCTACCATGTGCACCCCAAGTGGCTCGAACACTTCGAGATTAGCAGAAACATCTGTGACGAGTTCCTAGAAAACATCTTCGATGTTTTATTAGCCGAAACACCTTCGATGTTTCATCTATCGGAAGTTTAGCGCTAGCATACAGGGTCGTACCTCGTACCTCGGCACGAGTGTGTCTCTCGCTCCCGCTCAGAGCGGTGTACTCCTTGTTTATACGTCCTAGGCTGACGTGTCCCCCGGATATGCCCTGGGTATCCAGAGCCCTTAGCCGGGCCAGGCGCGCTCCGAAGAGCGGGATTAGCCGACCTTCTAAACGGGTCGGGGGGCAAGGCACAGCAGGGGAGCGCTACCTTACGGGCCAAAACTGGATGTCATGCCCACCTGGCCTGGTGCCAGGCCAAGACTTTCTTTACTCAGCTGTGCTCAGGCTGAGTTCTTTTCTTCGTTTGGCTGCAAAACCCGTGCATGGTTGCGGCTCTATGGAGATGATGATGTGGGGCCAAAACTGGGCCAACGGAAAGTCAAAAACTTTTTAGCCTTTCGCGATTGCAATCGCCAATCTTGAGCCAAACGTCCGCAGTTGGAACGTTCCTAAGAACCTATGCATGCCAGCTGCGGACCGAATTCACCAACACTCACAAAGACAAGATGTGATCACATCACTCTGTGAGTCGCCGCCACAACGGCGGAATATGAAGTCGTCAGTCGTCTATGCAACTTGCTCGGACAGTCGTCCGAAGATATGCAATTCTCCTCCTCAGAGTATGCTCTTGATATGTATCCTTCCTTCCTATATGCCATTCCTCCTCATCCTCCTGTCGTCGTCTACGCTGGATATGAACCTCACGTCGTCAAGTATGCAGTCACAAGGCAGACACGAACCTAGATATTACGTCCGTGATCCGTGGCGACATGGACAAGAGGTGTGCAAAACAAAGTCAAAACACCGTCGGGATCGTGGATTGCAAAACTTTCACCCTAAAACGGTGTGCTGGTTGGAAAGCTCTCTGCCCCTCAGGACCTGGCTGATGGATGGGTGGCAGGCTCTGAACCCGAACTGGCGGGTAATGGATTGCAAATCATAAACTTTTTGAGGCGATCGTGGGAAGGACGTGATGGGTGGCAAGCCCTGAGCCCGAAAACGACAGGATGGACGGCGAACCAATAACGCTAAACAAGTGTGATTGATGGCTACTCCTGGACTTTTAAAGACGACAATAGATGCAAACCCGAAACACCTCCAAAAAGAAGGTAATGAATACAAGAAAGAACCCAACAAGAAAAAATAAAGAGCGTGTTTTAATGAAGCGAAAAGTAAGCATTGAAACGCTCCATTTGCTTCTTTTGCCTTTTCGTGTGTCCTGCGAAGAGTCAAATTATAAAGACAACGGAAAACTGCGACCTTCTGCAACAGGACAAAGGAATGAAACGAAGAAATAACATTATTAAAAGCGAGAGAAGACCCTTGCGTTTCATTTCACATTGGTGTTTTCCCTTTCCCCATTACATTAGGTGTCTCCTCTAAGTCTATGTTCTAATGGTACCGAAATAAGCTAACTCCAACTAGCAAACGTTCCAAGAATCTAAGGACAAAAGACCATCAAAAATAAAGGAAATAAAAGCCAAAGGCGTGCTTTAGGTTACCTGTTCCTTTCATTAGTTTAGTTCGGGCTGTTTCCACCGAACCCTGCAATGAAGGCGTGGTTTATTTCGCTTGCTTTTTGCACCCACAGAAGCCCACATTAATTGAAATTAAAGCAAAGCACGCATGTTCGCTTGTCTGTGCTCAGCTCAGGCATTGTAATATGATTTGACCTTTTGTTCTATCTTCAAATCTTGCGACGTGGTTTCTCGCTCTTTTCCTGTTTACTTAATGCCTCACTTCATTGCGTTAAGGGTAAACAGCAGAGCGAAACAAACACACTGCTTTCTTCTTTTGCATTTCTATCAAACTGAAACAACCCACATGGAACCGTGCTTTGATTAAATCATGCCTTTTCTGGAAAAGATGCATGGTTAGTCCCAAAAAGTCCTACGCTGGTCCTACACCCTTCCAGGAGACAGCCTGTGAGGACTCAGACCGATACGGCGTGGCTGCAATCCTGCCTGTTTCGAATGTCCAGCATACAACGATTGAAGGTCCGTGCCCGACTGCCACCAGCCGCCCGCCTGGGGAAGCAACGCCAGTATCACAGCGCCAGACCAGTGGACAGCAAAAACAAGGCCTGCATCTCTCTCCTTTGCCAAGCGAGCTTCTTTAACTCGCTCGTGGCAGGTAAGAACCTGCACATAGAATGGAGTTACGAAACGCTGCAATTCACCCCTGACTTCGCTTACGCACCCACCCTCGTTGAACTCGTGGGCGTCCTCTTGCCGTGAGCCACTCCTCCTGCTGATGCAGTCGCCCGCAAATCGTCGAAATCAAAACTTTTCTTGAGCACGATCGAGCCTTGGTTTTCCGGGCCTGCATCGAAGAAGTCCACCTCTTGACAAAACAAGCTCAAAACCTGGTTCGCGGCTCGCACTGACTGAGCCTGCATGGCGCCGTCAGAAGCCAAAGCCATCAGGCAGCCGTCGAAGCAGCAAAGATCCACATGGGCAGCGCCGCCTGCTGGGGCCTTCAAGCACTTGCTCGCCTGCAACGAGGGCCAACATAATTCGCATAGCTTGCTTGGCTTGCATATTCGCCTTGTGCAAGTTGGACAAGCTTGCACCGGCAGCTGGGAGTCGCCACAGCTTTAGAGGAGCCCCGATGGAAGAGCTCAGAAGCCATTCTGACGTTAAGCCAGATACTGCCAAGCCGGAGACTGAGCTCCTTAGGGTGGGTTGGTTGTAATCTCCATGCAACCCAAGTCAGTCAGAATGAAGAATAACAAGTAACAATGGCTATTCACCCAATATCGGAACAACAGAACAAAAGCAACAACAGCAACAGCAGCAGCAGCAACAACAACAACAACAGCAGCAGCAGCAGCAGCAACACCAACAGTAGCAACAGCAGTAGCAACAATTTTCAGTTGAACGCTGCGCGAGCGTGCTCTGCGCTTTGTGGCCGTAGTGCTTTGCCGACACTCGGTGAAACAGACTGATCATGTACTCCCTAGTAGATCCTATCACAGACGACTCTGCTTTGCTGCTAACCTCGAGCTTCTAGCTTCAAGATATGAAATAAGCAAAAAGACACTGTCTCAGCGAGCATTGTTATAGCACAACCTCCGACACCCTCTTATGTGAGCCAACGCGTCCCTGCTCACGAACCGACTCCTGTTGGGTCGTACTCGAAACTGCAAGCTCACGAGCCGGGTCCCAAAGTGCCAGTCTAGTGCCGTCCCACACTTGGTCACTCACAGGCTAAGGCGATGGGCCGTAAGGACTAGAAGCGTACCTGTAGGCTGAATTAAGCTCTCAGCGCAATGTGGAACATACCGGTTCAAAGTTGATTGATGGCCTGGAGCTGCCCTTTTTGTTGTCCGCTGCTGCAGTGACAGAACGGCGCATGCAAGGCAGGCTGGCGCTAACAGGCGAGCTTTGTAGAAGAGTGTAAGTTATTGATTTCAGGCCACTTGAGACAGAGACTCACCTGCTTGCGTCCAGCAAAACTCTGAAGTGAAACGACAGCCTCAGACTAGGTCCGTTCATTAGCTGTTGGGCTGTGACCTGGCTAGGGAGGTTGTGCCCTAAAGGTTGTTTTCAGGGTCGGCTGGATTGCGACGACTGGCTGGTCCACGCCTCTGACGAGCGATAATAAGAATAATCGTCGTCTTGGTCGTCCCAGCCCGGGTCCCATTGCCACGTCTCTCGTCTTGTCTGTATCCGCCTCCTGCTCCGGATTGGAGCAGCTGACGCTTCCTCGGAGCGCTTACTAGCATTGGTGTGCCACTGCAAAGCACGCTTGTGACGATCATCAGACAATCCAGGAGCCGGGGGGGGCTTCGGCGTCATGTATGATGCGGACCCGTTTATCCGGATACTGGCATCGAATCATGCGGGTATACAGTCCAGCCTCCCGAGCAGAGTGATTGTACACGGTAATGACAGTAGAGGCAATGACGACAATGAGATCAAAGCGTTTCCAGGACGCAACGTTGTCGTGCATGAAATACCTCTTCATGTCGGGGTGCCACCACATTGCCTGAAAGAGTGCCCCCACCAAGCCATGTATATTCGTCGGCTTTTTAAGCTTAACGTAAGTGTCGCCGGCCACGGTAACTTCGCCCTCTTTGGTCAACACCTGACCCTCGGAGAGGGCACGAGTCCAGTCCAGGCCAGATTTTGTGGTGGTCTTTGAACGGCCTTGAATAATCTTTGAACCTTCGCCACTCCCTTGACCCGAGCCTCCACAAAGGCTTTCGCTCCTGTGACGACAGCCCTCAAGATCACAGGAGATCCGAGGACTTGAAAACTGGCCAGAGCCCTGATCTACTTCTGTACTGCTGTAGATTGGAGTTCCTCAGCGATAGCTTCCATCGTAAGTGGCATATCATCATCCACTGGAGCTGGAGGAAGATAAGACACTGTGGCCACAATGCAGCGAGGCGGCTCATACTGCGGGGGAGGATTGGGCAGGGGTGGCGGCGTGTGGGTGCCTTCTTTGCTCGTCGCTGGCTTAGCCTTGTTGGAGAAGGAGAAACACGTGGGGGAGGGCCAGAGGGAGGCTTCGGCTTTGCTGAAGAAACAGGTGTCGGCGGCGGAGGGGGTGTCGACTTGGATGGGGTAGATGGGGCTGACGAGTATGAGGCAATCGGGAATGCCGAAAAAGGGTTTGAAGCTTTTGGAACCTCAAAGCCTGTCCCCTTGGCTGGAGGAGGAGCCTTTCTGGTCGGCGTCAGGAGCCGCGCTAGGAGCTCAGGCGGAGGGCCAGCTAAACCCAGTGGCTCCTGTGATATCGTCACAATACGGAACCCCTTGCCTTTGCAGAACGCACAGCAAAGCCATCCTTCTTGCTGCTCTGACAGAGCCAGACCATTTCTGTAGTATTGAGAAGCACGAACGGCCTCCATGATGCGGGCGAACGAATTGTTCTTGATGCTGTTCTCCACCTGCTCGACAATGTCATTGTCGCCCGCCGGCACTGGAGGCTGTGCCTTCGCCTGCTGGGGGCTGTGCCCTGAAGCTCGGTTCCGCTCCTCCCTGATCTCAGCAATTGCCTCCGGGATGCTAGCAAGGAGGGCTCTGCTGGTCCGCTCCTTGGTGGAAGGGTCGTCAGGGAACCCTTTGCTCCATCCCCAACATCTGGTGAAAGCAACCAAAGTGCCGTCACGGGAAACGAAATGGTGGCCCTCGTTCTTCACCAAGGTAGACGTGTCGTGGGCATGTTTGTGGTACTCCTGGAAGAGGTAGATGGGCCCAAAAGTAGGCGTCACGTTCCAGCCTACTTTAGGATCACTTCCCATATCTCGAGATATGGTGTTCCACAAATAGTGGCAGAAAATCATGTACTCGATGCTGGCAACCCTCGAAAGGACTTGGCCGCCAAAAGCGTGTTGGATGGCCATCCGAATGAGGGGATGACCCGGGCGGCCGTAAAATGATACTCTGAGAAATATAATCGCCTGCTTTGCCGATTGCCATGATCAAGCGGTCATCCGGCCTTGTCGGATTGTATCCTAAGGCATCGGCCAATTTGACTTGGGCTGTGCCCCAATCGTAATCAATCTTCTGTAGCACCTCTTTCCATGGCATCACAAATGCCGTCTTGATGTCCAAACACAGGCCACCATACTGGTAATGGCAGATGTAGCGAAATACGTCGGCACGGTGTGCAGGGCTGGCCAGTTTGTCAAGAAACACCGGACCGTGGGTATCTGCCCATTCTTCAACAGTCTGACGCAAAAAGACATCGTTGCAGAATTGACGTTTGAACTCAGGGACTCAGGGAACATCTTGCCCACCATGGCTTGGGGCCCCTCGCTTTCGTAATGAATGTAGGTCTGGAACATGGTGATCGGTGCCTGCACGTCCAGTTCCGGCTTGTAAAAGTAGCGCATGGGCCAGGGCGAGTGAGCATAATGCAGCGCAACCTCAGCCAAGTCCTCCATGGTGCCATGGTGTGGCACTGGGCTACAGCAGCTGCGGCATGTGCACCATTGCGCTGCTTCTCACTGTTGAACTGCTGTCCACCTTCAAATTGCATCTGTGCAAACATGATGACGAACTAGAATTGACTTTTGCCGACCCGCCGATCCGAGATGTGCCTTGGCAGTTGTTTACAGCTCCGAAGTTCCATTTTGGTGATCCGCTTCTTTGTTTTAACATTGACCCACGGCAACGACGCAGCAGCGAGTTTCTCACCCTGGCATAATGCCAGTTCCGCATGATTTGCTATTTTGCTCCGGAGCTCAATCGCCCTAGAAGTTTGATCTGTCTTCAATTTCAGGATTCTGTGCAACTGCATCTGAATCGTGGGTCAATTCTGCAGTTTACTACGAACGCATCAATTGCAGTGTCCACGGGATCACTGGACTATGCGTCGATCTGAGCCGCAAGAATTTTACGCACGCAACCTTCCACCACGACACTTCGACGTACATGAAGCTTTTTTGATGTTCGGGCGGACTTCTCCGTCAGCCTATAGGGGAATTAGCTCGCACGTTCGGACTGAACTCTCTCTTCAGCCCTTGCATTGAAACTGGTCCTCTGGTCAAAACAGACACGGTCGGAAGCAGAACAATGTCCTGACCCTTTTTCGGCGGTCGGACCAAAGATGATCGAGCCGCTACGGATCCTCAAGCGGGTGCATGGCATGCTAAGCAGCCCAAAATCCTTCATATGCATTCCTGGGAACAGGTGGAGAAGCTGACTCCCGGACAGCAGCATCCATTCCACAACATTGCGTTCAGCTTCTTTACATCCACGGTCGGACGATCCGCAAGGTTATTGAGATCCCCGGCACGTAATCTATGTGGACGGAGATCTGCAAATGCTCTTGAAGAATGAAGAAACCGCGGAAAATTTGGCTAACCCCTTTACCAGGCCCTACCATAGAAAACTCCGAAGCAGAGCTGCCGGCCAACAGCACAAATCGCACATGAAGCTGCAGACGGACGGATCAAAGCAGCCACGCCCGTAGCAAAGGAGCCCGGCGCACCATTACCCCGCAAAAATATACCCGAAGACTCAATGTGGCCGAACCTGGCAGGGGCAGAAGCTCACTCTGGTCAAGAGGCGCGGGCGGCTCAGAAGAGGTCACCGCCAAGAAGTTCTGACAGGAAGCAAGATGAACATGTGAACATGAAGCTGAGTTTCCGGTGTTGGGCCTGGGTAGCAGTTGCATTGTCGCAGGTCCGCGTGAAGCTTCAAAGGCTACCAACATTGAGGCGTTTCAAGATGACCTGGCAGGGCTGGCTGGCATCTGAGCTATTCTGAGCTCAGAGCTGTCTGTCCGTGACGACGGCGGCCACCGAAGATCAAAGCCTTTGAGAGCCTGCTCCAGCTTGACCACCTTGGGAGATTCGCGGGCCTCCTCGATGCACGGCACGATCTCCTTTCGCCATCAGTTGATCTCCTCCACCGACAACTGGTGCATGGACCACTGATAAGCATGCATCATCCCGCGTCTACGGTACGGTTCCCGATGAGCCCACTAAGATGCTCCCGGAATGTGTAGCTTACTGACAAAGGTCAGCCTCAAAAGTCACGAGCTCCAACAACCTCGTTGTTGGCCTTCGCGACGAAGAAACTTCCGAAAAGCAAGGGTGCAAGAACTTCCGAAAAGCCAGGGTGCAAGCGCTTGCTCTTCACGAATTTCAGAAAAGATCACACGTTCGGTGGCATCGAGCTCCGGAACCGTCGTTGTTGTCGTTGCTCTCACAGCGCAGTTCGGCGGCCGAAGTCGTCACCAAGGCTGTGCTACCATGCACAACGTATGGAGGCACTACAACTTGTTTTACACAACAGCCCAAGTCTTGGTGCTTGATCCCGAAAGGCACCACAGTCAACAGCTTCACCACAGCTCTCGAAAATGCGTTGCAGAACAAGCACATCAACAGACTCGGGGACATGACATCGACATGAACATCAGCAGCAATGCTCTGAGAGCAGCTCTTCCCACTGGCAAGGGAGCTTCTCGTCACACCATCCACAAGTCCAATCTCAAGAATGTCTGGCAGTCCGGAGCATGCGGCAAAGACCGTCCCTCTCGTGGAAGAAGCTGCCAGAGCTGTAACGCTGCAGTCCGCGCCACTGGCCAGAGCATGAAATGCCTGGAGCAGCACATGGGAAATCAAAGAACGCTGTCGGCGCGTGCTGTCTGACTTTCCCCCCCGCGGCCGCGGCCTGACCAGGACGGCCAAGTAACTCCGCAGAGCTTGCATCCCAAGCTTGGACCCGGCCACTTGAGCAGCCCAGCACCACGCACGCCTGAGACAAGTTGAAAGGCAAAAGAGACGGCGAAATGAAGCGAAGCAAAGCGAAGCCTGGTCACCCGAATGGAGCTCCTGCCTGCAAGTTTTCAGGGCACGCCCAACAAGCTGCTGTGTACGTCTCGTTCTCATCACTGTGGTAGAGCTCGACAGCACCTTCTCCTGAGGGTTCACGCACAGTGCAGCATTCGGTGCAATCTGGACCACGGAGCCAAGTGCAGGCGAAAGTCTTTCCCTCCAGAGCTTCCAACGGTTGCCAGCACGCACAAGGAGGCATCCTACCTCCTTCATTCACGACTGCCCGCACGTGTGTCAAGTGTTGAAGTCGTACCCCGTCACAGGACCCAAGATTCTGGAGGTCCTCTGGGGCAAAGAGGCAAGCTCGCAAGCCAGACATTCAAGATATGGGCGGCATTCATGAGGCAGTGCTTTATCTACCGACAACGGCTGTTGATTTCGCCATGGCTGACAGAGCTCGCGTCGTGGTCTTTCCAGCTGAACGTGTAAGGATCATGCCCAAACCTAGAGGCATCTTGCCACATGGGCATGGTAGAGTAAGGCCTAGCTAAAGTGGTCATGCGGAAGAAGCGGGCGCTGTCCTCTCTACAAGCAAGGGTCCCCAACTCCGACTCAAGCGTTCCTCATCAACTCAGCACCACACATATGCAGGGGATGACATGAAAACACAGCTGCGGCTTTTTGCCCTTCTGCTCACTCAATGCGGCCCAGTGTGATCAAGCACCTCTGGTTCGGTGTCCTGTGCGAGCACTGCTGATCAATCGACTGTCGAAAGCCCCAGATGGCCAGGCCTAGTCACCGAAGTTGAAGCCCTTCTTGCCACCTTTTCCTTTGCCCTTCTTCTGGCAAGGAGGCGGCCCGTCTAGGCTCAAATTACCACTGCTGTAAGCAATTGCCTGGAATTTCGCCAGTGCTCCGGATCTCTTCTCTTCCTGCACTAGGATGTTTCAAGCTTCGGCGAAGCAGCGCTTTTTAGGCTCCGGAAAGTCGACGAACGTGTCTTCAAAGACCCTCGTGCCGGGCTAGCCTTCGGAGCTGGCTCTGCAAGGGGCGGCTCTTGCACGGGCTCCTCCTGTACACACCGAGATAGTGCAGGTCAAAGGTGCCGCAGAATCACTTACCTCTGGGCAGAGTTCTGTATGGCTCTCAGATTGCCGCGCATGTCCCGTCCGAACCCTCATGCGACATGCCGACGGCCAGCGCCCTGATCACGCACCCGAATCGACCGCGGCATTCTGAATCTGCACTTCCTCACCGACCGCCCTTTTTCTCAACCTTGACGCATCCCCCGAATTCAGGACTGGCAATCCACAGCATCTCTCCAGGCCCCGCCATTTCTTGCTCATTCAAAAGCGGCTAAAGTCGATACAGCAACACCTAACAGCTGAACGGCTCTCCGGCATACTCGCACGCAGGCTGGAGAGTCCGCTTCCGAAGACCTGCAGCACGTACGACGTACACTGTGCTGTGCAGCCAGCTGACGAGGACTCGCCTCTGGAGCTATCGGAGCTTCATCAATGTCTTCAACATTGAGCTCAATCTCCTGCCAAGAATAGCATGCTAATCGTGAGCACATGCTAACCTTGTGTTTCCCGCAAGCATGGGCGGAATGGCTTCGGTCTGCATCCTCCGCATTGCTGGCCATCGGGGCAGCAGGTCCAGACGGTGCAGCCTCTGGAGCAGCATCCTCATCCTCGTCATCGTCCTGAGCTAGACGGCACACTCGGCCTGCCACGACGCCTCAAGCGCAAGCAGAATCATCTCATGCCAACAAGCGTCCAAATCCAGCTCGATCTCCTCTGGGTTGGCTTCTGTAGCCTTCCGCTCAGCAGCCAGCGCCTACCAGAGCACGTCCCCACTTGCCATAGCAACGTAGCCATGTGCAGACTTGCAAAGGAGCCTTGCGCTCAGCTGCAGCTGCTGCAGCTGATCTTGCTTCGATTTCTCGCAAAGAGGAATCCTGCAGTTGACCGATACATGAAAGATGCTATCAGGACGCCAGGAGGATTAGCGAAGCGCCTCGTAGTAACCCAGACCTTTGATTCCAAGCTTGAAGATGAAGCCATCCCGCGGCCCCTGCAAAAACAAGAAGTGGCCCGGCCCCTGTTGTCTGCACAAACAGCAGGGGGCCAAACTCTACATACCCGTCAATCTCTCGGGCACATGCAGCAGCCGAGAATCAAGACGCTCCCCGAAATCAACACGACATTGGCTCGTCAGCTCCATGCCACGAACATCATGTTGTCATCAACTGACTCTTAGAGTGAACACGGCTACTGTGCGGACCTGCGCCGACAGATTTCCCAAGCGTAGAAGCAATCGTACGTTTCACTGTGTGTGTGTGTGTAGGTCGAACAATCGAAGCTGCCAGTACACAGCCTCAAAGCCTTCTGCGGGCTCGAAATTGCCCAGAAGCTCCTCGAAAAGCATGCTTGAAACCACAACCCTCGACCGTGCGACGCAGTCAGCAACAGCAATGCCGGATATACGATACGTCCTTCCGCGCCGTCTCAGCATCAGCCGTGACTCTTTGCCGCTTCGCATCAATGCCCAAAGCGCCGCCCTGCACTTTTACCAACTCATCATGTATGACGCATGCATCTCAAATCAAGAGTGGAGCATCTGAAATCAAGAGTGGATCGGACGGGTCAGCTCCTTTCGCTTTCTTTCCTCCTCAGTTTTCATCTCCTCCTCGGCTGCCTCAGAGGACGAAGTTGCTGAGCCTCTCTTGCGCGCTGGGCAAAAATAGTTGCCGAGCATGGGACTGCCATTGGATCGAGGACTTCACGCCCTTCACCACTCAGAGGCATGCAACGACTGACAATGGATATACTGGCAGTGGAGCTGCGTCCTGTTTCGGCCGCAATGTCGGTAGCATTGAAATGAACCTGCCACACCGGTGATTGTACAAGGGGCATGCAACTCCAGAACCGTCGTGTAGCACTGCCTGCTCACACCCTAAAGCGGGGTTCAATCCACAGAGGCTCGCTCTTGCTCCACGTACTGAGAACGGACATTACCCGTACTGGCACCTGAGAGAACATCGCTTGAACACTGCGCTTGATTCGGAGCATGTCACGGAACCTGAGTCAGTCATGGATTCCCATATACTGACTCTCACCAGCCTGACAAACTTAGAAGCACGCGTGTCTTCATTTCCATGTTGGACTTCGAAACCGCGCCAAACTTTCCAGAACCTGATCGGCATGGAAGGTTGCAGCTCCAGGACTCAAGACAGATCTGCACAAGGCTGAAGCCCAAAGTCTGAGCCATCAGCTCTTCTTCCCGTCGCGGATCGCAGAATCTGCATCAGGCATTTTGGTAAGATTGTAGAGCTCAAGACTGCACAGCAACTTCTTGGAAGCAGGCTGGGACGCATGCACCTTAGCCAGAAGCGGTTCTGTGAATCCGACGATTCCAACTAAGGGTTTATGGTGCGTCGTGAATCACGGGGCCAAGATCTAATGTCACACGACGTACGAAGATGTTCAGAGCCTGGGAACCTGCCTCACGACCTTGCAGCTCGGCGGACTTCCAGGCACCAATGCAGCTGAGGTATAGGCATAAATGGCGCGCGCTCTGTCCACCTAGCACAGAGGATTCAACAGGAGGAAAGATTTCAGAAGGTAGACTTATCGGTAGGAAAATGCTCAGACAGTGACCTCACCAAGCATGGTTTCCATCTTAGCATAGCGCATGCAGGCATCCTTGATACGATCCTGGAGGAGCGCACACGGAAGCGCCAGGGACTGAACATGCAATCCAAAAACTGACTCCGCATCACTCAAGACAAATTGCTGGCTCATGTGTTCCCCGTCAGGCTTCAGCATGGTGTCGCATATTCATGTCTGTTTAGCTTTCTCCTGTATCTTGGCTTCTCATGCCGAGCTGACTTCGTGGCCGCCTCAAGGGCATCTTTATGCAGGCCCTTTCCCTCCCAACCTTCCTTCCATGCTGCCTTTCTTCGTTGCCTTGCTTCCCTTCCTTCCCTTCTTCCTTCCTTCCCTCCTTCCCGTGAGGCCTGGGGCCAGCATAGGCTCCGGTATGCCCCGGTCCTGCGGCAGGGCCTCGATGGCTTGATCATAGATCTCCCGCGTGCGAGTCTGACCTATTGCGGATGCAAAATGCCAGAAGGTTCAAGCAGTCCCTTCATCGGGGTCGGACCAAACAACTCAGCCGTCTTTCGCAGCAAAATGCCATACATCTCGAACATGTCCTGGGTGAGAATCCCTTATGGCTGCACAGCCTCACACAATGCCAAACTGTGTGTGACCTTCTCCTCCACTGCTTTTGTCGCCCGGTTGTAGATGGACAGAGCATGCCTGGCAGAAAAACATTCACGGAAGCTGAAATAAGTCGAAAACGACCCCAGGCCTCGCCAGACCGTGCTCCTCTTCAAGTTTGGCATAGAGCATGTGCAGCCTGTCAGGGCTCTTGTCACTTCCTGGATTTCCGAACTTCTCCGACTCGTGGGCGACATGCGAAGCACAGCAGCGGCCTCCTCGCAAACTTCGATGGCACCTTCTCCACTGCCTGCTCGAAGAGGTCCCTGGCCCGTTCCAGCCTCGACAAAGCACTCCTGCTGACCGTGACAACACATGACTCCCTCGTCTCGCGAAGCTATACAAGCTCGTCGCTTTCGCCCGCCATATCGCTCCACAAACTTCGACAGGTATGTAAGCCTGGCAAGCCGCAAATGCCCAAAAGGTGGCTTGTGATGCGGAGTTCAGGTACCAAGAAGCAAACCGAAATTTTCTGACAGGCCAGGCTACCAGATGTCACCAACATGAGGCCATGAGAAGACCTGAGCAAGCCGGCTCAAGCTTTGAGCAAATGCGAAACCACCGTCCGCATCTGTCCGCCTTGATACCCCGCTCGTAAATTTTGAATGCATCTTCAAAATACTTCCGGTCCTCCAAGACTGTATAGACTGACACAGACTAGCAGCCGACACGAGCGAGAAGCGGTGCGACCCGTTATGGCGGTCCTCCAAAAATCGTGCATAGCTCAGGATCAAGGCAGGAGATGCCACCTTCCCATCTGGGAAGCGAAAGCTGATGCAGGCGCTTACTTTTTGCCTGTTTTTTCCTTCGTGGCCTCCAACCCCTCATGTCAACCCGTCCCCATCTGACTTGTGAGCGGAGACAGTAAAACAGTGAAGGCTGTGCTCGCAATCGCGACGGCATCCATCCGTCTGCACTGCGACTGGATCCGCAGACACGCAACACACGTTACTGCACATCAGTACATCAATTTAAGCACACGGCAAACAGAGATCTACTCACTACTCCTTTCTTCCTCTCCTTGTTTCTGCGTGTCTTCTGTGTTTTCTCTTCCTCCTTCTGCCGGGCATTTAAAAGGCGAGTGACCACCCACAACGTGCCAAAGCAGCGCCCAGTTTAGTTGCGCGATTCCCCGAATTGAAGGTTTCTCATCTGAACGGCACACTTAGGCGCGAGTGCACCAACGTACAGGAGGGCTCCACAACTCTGCAACTGGAATCCGCAACATAGATGAAAGTCTTGCCATGTGGATCATGAACAAAGAGCTCGCCGCCGTCCCCATCCAACACTGAGACCAAGATTGTTGGCATGACGATGTGATGATAGTGTGCAAGTTGCGATTGGTTTGAACACTGGCACAAGCCATGTGCGCGAATTGAGGGCATAGCAATGTCCGTAGAACCACTTGGATAAATCCTGGAAATCTGAACCGGTTCATGGTATCGTCCGGAGCATTGTACTCCGGAATACATGCTCAGCAATAACTGATCAGCAGACTCAGCAGACGATTGTAACACAGATCTGAAAGATTTTCTGCTGCGACTTTTCCACGCTGCATCGCGGATCTGTTGTAAAGTGTGAAGAATATTCTCGGACAACGTTGCCAGAGAAACAATAGAAGTCGGAGCACCAGTGTAATCATTCGAACTGCGAGAAACATCCGACATAATGGCAGCAAGGGGCCTGAAAGACATACCTAAAGAGCCAGCTTGAACCCATATTCATCATGAGAAGCAAATGAGAAGCAGAAAAGAAAGCAGGCATGACATGACAGGTACATACGCATCAACGTTATCCAACCAGTCATCGAACATGTCTCGATCAAGACAACTTTGCAATTTTCACGACGAAAGAAAAAGTCTTCTTGCCGCGGAGCAAGTGCTTACTCAGAAAAGTGAGAAGCAGAGTCGGAAATCTAAACCGGGGCAGACAAAGAAGTAACAAAAGCATAGCACAAACAAAACAACAGCAAGGAGGACGACTGGCATCTGCTCAGTGCCACGACGACCAATACGCTGCCACTCCGACAAGTATACACTCCGACTGCTACGAAGAAGCCATCGGCCATCTTGGCCATGCGTCACATCATAGTAATCAACAAAGGTACTATCAGAGGCACCAACAGCACTAATATGATTGTGCTGACAACAGAGACACCAACCCACAACTGACACAGGGAGTATCTGATTCCTTCCCGCCGAAGTTGCGGGCATTGATCATAGTAGCACGCATAGCCTGCAGATGCTCCGGACAACCACCGTCCAGCTTGGGAAGGCGGATGGCTGATTGCGGAACAGAAGCCTGCAGTAGAAACCTACACTCGGTAGCCATGTCTTGTCTCAGCGATGACACTAGCTTGCCGGAAGGTCTTTGACTAACGAAGCCAAGCCCTGCGGCACCGCGTTGCACGAAAACGGCAAAGCAAAGCAGGTATTGGGATCATCAGGGAGCACGCTGGCCAAGATGAGAAAGATGCCAATGGGAGCTGCCAAGTTCTTGGTGAGATCCAAGCTGGCGGCAGGGTCCGATTGCGAAGGAATCGCAAATAACTATTGTGCACCAAGACCAAACTGAAGATCTTCACGAACGAAGGGTGGCAATTTGGAAACTGACGATAGCGATCGAGACAGTGTACACAATTGCTGAATCACCTTTCCTGTCACTGGCTAATCACTCCACGCATATCCTGCGTGAGCATCTGCACCGCCAGCAATGTAGCAAGCCACCTCGGACTTCTCCGGGCCGACGCTCAACACCCAGCACTGCACACGACTGAGCCCAACAGCAGCTTTCAACCGACTCTCATCCGCGCTGGTTTCCGATCGAAAATGCAGCAACAATAGTTCTGGTCTTGCCCACTGTGGTCGAACCGCAGTGTTCACATCTATAGGATCAAAGTCATCCAGGCACAAGCCCGCAACTGGTCGAGCGCAGAAGAGTTGACGCCACGGCACACGCTGAACGTCGAAGGCATGCTGAGTCCAAGCAAGCAAACCCAAGAACTGAAAATAAACTTTTCCCCCGAGCGTACTGTAACATCATCCCACTCCTCCGAATGAGTGGGAAGTGCAGGGCCGCTTGGAATGCTGTAGGGTGTGATCCCTGCTTTAACCGTTGCAACAGTAATAACTGTTGAAGGCGCTAACTCACCATTGGTAATAGCTGAAGCGGCGGCACAACTGCGAGGAAGACGTGTTTGCGAACGAGTAAGATGATGGGGTGCCATCAGATGATCCACATCTGACTGGATCACCCGGTCCGCCATCCGTTCATCATGAATAAGGATGCTGTTGCCACCAGACACCAATGTAAGCAACGCAGCTGCAGCGGGAGCAAGTGCACGAGGAATAGGGTTCGAGCCAACGGAAGTAGCCGACGAAAACCCCAGAGTAGGCAGGGCATGTGACTCAGCTGCAGGCAGTGGAGATTTTGCAACAGCCCACGACGGGAGGGGCAGCAAGGAACCACCCAAGGCTCGGGAAGCATCATGTGAGATCCGACGACGAATGTAGGCCTCGATGTTCCCATCAACTGGTCCAGGTGGGCCGGAGCTCTTAGGAGAACGATTCATGTGTTCTGTCGCCTCACGAGAAGGAGAACGTGAGCGACCTTGCATGGCTGCTGGAAAAGACCAGAACCTAGACAGACGGGACGAACAAAAGCTGATAATAGCTCGAGCAAGAAACCGGAACTTCAATCCGATTCATCAAACCTCACATGCCTGAGACAAGCAAGCCACCAAACATCGGCGCATCGTTCAGGCTCAATCATCTTTTAAGAGTCACAAGTGTTCCGTGCGTGTGTCAGGGCTCGTCGTCGAATTTGTGCCAAGATCGGCGCAAGAAGACTAAGATGATCATCAAACTGTTGCACAGCATACGCAGACTGAAGGGCAGCCAACTCAGCATCTCCTTGCCCAGCAGGCCATGATGAGCGGGCAATCATGTGAGCACGCGAGCGGAAACTGCTGAGTAAAGTGCCGGTATTGGCGACTGAGAGGCGATGTAAAAACCTTCAGGCGGCATCGGGTTGTGCGATTGTGCGAATCTGACAGTCCTCCTCTCGACATCCAGCCGGAGTCCGAGGAACATGTCCCCGTCCTGGTTTCTAGCACAATGGGTAATTAAACTTCCTCGTGCACAGATGCTTTCCATTCGAGTGTCACGCAAATTCTCATGGTAGACACCTCGCAGGAAAGTATCGAGATCTGCATCCGTGACATCGTACAACTTGCACAATAGCAATCTGAACGTGGTCATGAAGCGCTCCGCCATAAGAATGCTCACCAAAAAAACCGGACAGATTTTGATGTTGCATCACCAGTTTGTTGTCCGAGGAAGAACCACCTGATGCTGCCGACTCCAAGAATTCATGTATAGACTGCCGCAAAGAAACGGCGTCATTGTAAGCCGCATGCTCCTGAGACGCCTGAACTCGTTCATCACTCCTCGCACTGACCGTCTGCGAACCTGATACATGTGCGGCAAGATCATCAAGCGACACTTTCTCATCACGAAGCTTGGAAAATAGAGCTTGACAGAAGACGACCTCAGCCACACTCCGAAATCCAGCAAAAAATGTAGACCTTGCTTCTGCATTGTGACGGATCCAATATGAATTCCATCACATTGGTACAAGACGGAATGCGATGGAATCAAGTGGCTTGGACAGTTTCCAATTGCTTGCGAGTGGTCCGTTCTGACTTTTTGACCCACCTGGACCTGAGTAGGCCTCAATATGGCGACTGCCCAAGAAGTGCGGATTGTTAACAAAATCTGCCGGCATCAAGGGTCCAAAGCTTCGTTGATGTCCTGTCACCGACGTGCATGGAGAGCCATTGACTGAGGAAGCAGTCGGCGCTGAAACCGCCTAGGAAAATGTGGGCTTCGGGTGCCAGCGCAATTCTGTTGGCTGCACAATCATAAGTCATAGGATGAGAGAGGCTGTTATCAAGAGCGGGTCATGGCTGCATCCAGCTGGGTGGCGGAGCGGCAAGTCCGCCCCACTTGTGCTCGTCATGGTGGTGCACGCTCACGATCCATGATATCAGCATTCAGCACTCTAGATAAAGCTCAGAGAACCTGCGACGTGACTGTTGGTTTCGCGGTTGATGTCCGGACTTGACTGCTGATTTCCGCCGGTCTCCACTTGAACATGTTGTCAACTCCTAAATGACTTCAAGCTATCCTACACAAGAGCGCCCCAGTGCCGGAATATTTCGCCGAAAAAACGGTGGGCCTCATGCGGGAGCTCCAACCATACACAAGTTTGAAGATAACAAGGTTGAACATGTGGGCGAGACCAGTTTGTTGCTCTTTTTCATCGCATTCCAGACATACATACACCCTCCTGTCGAAAACATGAAACAGGTTCTCAGCATCTCAAGTCTAGCTTTCAGATTTCGGCAACCGTGCATGTCGTGAGAAAGCTGTTACCTGTCCTTCGCACTGGGGCTGGTAGCTAATCTTGGCACAAGGGCACGTTTTCAGCAGGTACACAAGGATGCGTTCATCCTTGCCTCACAAGCACTAACTGGGTGTCTTTGTTGGCTCTGGTCCCAGCTAGGCTCCCACGGCCCCCTGCACATAGGAACGACTGAAAACATGAAAACCAATCAAGCAAAGAAAGACGGCATGACCGGTGCAGCGTTTTTCGCATGTACAACAGAATAGCACAAACAAGCTTCAGCGTGGCTACCTAGTTGGGCGGGTGGAAGTTACCATGGCGATCAAACACATCAGCATGCATACGTTTACGTCTGTGGCTCCCCTGACTCAGTTCCTCATCTTCCGGTTCACCCACGATTGCCCCCAGAGGGTTTTTTCAAGGAACTCACGTTGTACTCGGCCTTCCGCTTCAGCCAAGGCTGCTCATGGGGCTCGGTACTTCCAGACCATGGGTCGGCCCCCAACGGAGGGACCCACGACCCAGCAGGGGGCTTCTCCAATGACGGTTTTGGGTGGTTCTGTTGCCATGGCACCACGGCAGCCAGCACTTTGGGACTTTTCCCCCTTACTTCCTTCCTTGCTTCCTTCCTTCCTTTCTGCCTTCCTTCCTTTTCGCGGGTGCAAGTCTGCGCAAGCAGACCCGTGCCGAGTCACCCCCCTCTTTGGTTTGTGAGGAAAGGGCTTTGGGGTCGACGGGTGATTTTCACTCCAGTGGTGTGTGCTTACGGGAGTGTCTGGTTGGTGCGTAACCCCCCCAACCCTGAACTTTAAACCTCCGGCCTCGTCTCCCCGCCCTCTGTTCCCCAGTCTGTCTCTGTCTCTCCCTCTGTCTCGCTCTTCTTCCTCAGGTTTGAGGGGCTGATGACGCCCCCCGGCCCATGGGGCCGCAATGGGGCCCCCCATTGTTTATGAGGCTTTCGGGGGAATACTCTGCAACAGGACTGGCAGGTCGAACATACGCTCTTCAACACAGTCAAAGGGAAAGCAAGGCGCTCCCCCTCGCGCGTCGAACATACTCTCTCTCTCTCTCTCTCTCTCTCTCTCTCTCTCCCTCTCTCTCTCTCTATCTTCGGGTTTGAGGAGCTTGTCAGGCTCCCCGGCCCATTGGGCCCAGCCCACTCTCTCTCTCTCTCTCTCTCTCTCTCTCTCTCCGGGGGCAAAGGAGGAAGGCGGGCCCCCCCTCGCGCGCCCACGCGCACCCGCAGTCCACGGGTTTTGTGATTTCTTCCGCTGGGGAGGTTTCCCCCGCAGGGCTCGGCTATACAATGGCCGTGCGATCAGGTACACCCTTACTGTCAAGAAAGCAACACGCTGAAGTCTGAGGTCCGGGCCGCTACAGGGGATCGTAAAGGGTGTACAAACGGCTGTCACTCTGAAGTCCCCCACAGTAAGCAAAACAAAGATACAGCTTACTCCGAAAAATCAACACGGTGAGGTGCTCGGAAAGGGGCGCCAGGGCAAAAACATGCACAATACATGGTCTGCCGAAGTTTGAGTGGTGCTAATTGGGCCTTGGCCTATCCCCCGATTTCGTTCAAGGACGGGAAAGAATGGTACAGGTGTGTTGAAAAGAAACTGAGATTAAAGGGCCAGGTTGGGCCAGAGGTTCGAGGTTTGCCTGAGAAAAGCAATTGTATGCTTTGCTTAAAGAGCTCACACCTAAAAGCTTACGTGCAGTCACGGATTGTCTGCTCAGCTCTGGGAGTTCCCCCTAAGGTCCCCCCTCAGTAGTCGGAGCGAAGAAACTTTTCCACGCGGATCAGTGTTCGTAGGCGAACTTTGTCCCCACGAAGGGCAGGAAGAAAGGGAGGAAAATCCCCCCGTCGTCATCGAGTCGCTCTATGCTGTCTGGCTTGCTCCATATGGGCCTGCACTGTTCTCACGTCTCGCCACATGCGGTTAGGGATGAGTGTGATCCCCTCGCCCTTGCCAGAAGCATCATCACGCTGTTGCAGGGGCACTCCAGCAGGCACATTAGGCCGTTCTGCGAGGATCCCCTCGCTTAGCCCTCTGTCAGAAGGGCGTCCCATCTCCCCCCATGGCCAACTTGTCAACGTGTTCTCATCTTCCGTCTCGTCCCCCCCCAATCTGGTGGGGTGTCGTTGTCCATGGGCTGGTCCATGCTTCCACCGGCTGAGTTATCTCCCCCGGACACTGTTCTCGCACGCTCTGTTGCACCGGTGTCTCCTTCCGTGGCTTGTGCTGGTAGTCCTCCTCCTTCTTCTGCATCACTGGCTCGGCTTGGGTTGTCCCCGCTTCCCTGCGCTTCTTGCCTCGGCTGTGGTGTTGTAGCGGGTTCCCCTTGCCGTCGGAGAACATTGCGTATCTTCCTTGCCTTAGGGAGTAGCTTGTGAACTTCCCCCGGGAAACGTGCGGTATAGGCTCTGGTTTCATCTGCTTGCAACGGCAGATACTTGTCCACAATGTGGAAAAGCTTATCCGCCAGCCGCGTTTCTTCATTTCTCGCTGCGTGCCGCTTGCAGTAGGCTTTGTACTGTGTTGCCTCCTGCCGAGTCAAGGGTGCCCCGGTCTCTGCATTGACGAGGGCTCCCCCGGACTGTTGCTCGATCTTCTTGCCGATCCATGTATCGAGCGGGCTTGGTTCGTAGAGGAGAACCACCCCTTTCCGCGTACGGAACCCTGTCAGTTCCTCCAGAGGCCTTGTTGACGTAATCCCCCGAGTTGCTGGCTGTGGTTTGGTGTGGTTGAAGTTCGCCCCCGGGCTGTCGGACTCGGCGTTCGCTCCCCCGCTGCTTGGTCTCCCCCCGCTTGGAGGGCTCCTTGTATACGGTCTCGAGGTGTGGCAGCTTTCGTGCTAACTCCATACAGCCTGCAAGCTGGGTCCGTGCGGTCATGGCTTTTTCGCATACCAATAGCGCATGTCCCCTCAGCGTACCTGCATATTCTACAAGTCCCCTCCATGGTGAACTTCACTATGTCGCCGTTCCCCAAGTCACGACCGTTGAGGTGTCGTACTCCCCCTCCCAATGAACAGGTTGTTTAGGAGCGGTATCGGCAAGAAGGAAAAGGCCTGCAAAGTGAAGAAGAGCGTCTCCCCCTCCGCTATCGCTGCAAAGAAGAAGATCTTGCAGCTTTACCCTCACGAGTATGGCAAGCGTTCCTGAAACCTTCCCCCGAAAAGGCCACGGGAGCGGAACGGCGACGGACGTAAGGCTCAAGCCTTCCTCCGCCTGAAGGCACGTCCACCCAGTGGGGAAGCTGGGAACAGCCAGCTACCCCAAAGGGCCGGCCTCAGGGGCCCCCCGAGAGGAGCGGCAGGTCGACTTGAGCCAAAATGGCTACGGCTCTCTCTCTCTCTCTCTCTATATATCTCTCTCGCTCTCTCTCTCTCTCTCTCTCTAATGCGCTTGGGGATCCAACCACGAGCAGTCCCCATGGCCAGCTCTCTCTAACTCTTCTTCCTTCGGGTTAGAGGAGCTGGTAAGGCTCCCCGGCCCATGGGGCCCCCCAACGTTCTGGGGCTTTCGGGGAGAACTCTCTCTCTCTCTCTCTCTCTCTGTCCCTCTCTTTCCCTACAGCAGCACTGCTGTCGAGAAGAACGCTTCTCGGATTTTGATGCGGCTCTCTCTGGCAGGACTGACTGCAAACAGCCAAACCTGCGCGCACGGGACGACTGCTAAATAAGCACAACAGCGGATGAAGCACCTTGAGCTCCAGCGTCGCATCGTATGCCGCCTCCAAGATTGAGCAAGAGGTGAAAGAAGCGTGCGAGATACTAGCTTTCAGGCATGGACTCTGGTTGAAGCTGTGGTCCCAAGCGACCTGGATGGCAAGGTCTTCTCGCTGAAATCAATGACCGACTCATTTGCTGAGGCCTGTGCTCCTCAAGGTCTATGCAGAGTGACCACAATTTGGTCGAGCGGTACAGCCGATTCTGAACATCGTCCTCGTGAGGCACATAAGTCACACGAGCAGTTTGCCAAGGTTTGATCAACATCTAGCCTTGTCTTCTTTCAAGGCTGCCGCCTTCTTCTGACCGGCGGCTTGCCTTGCCACCTGCATGATGGAGTTCGGGCTCGGTGAGTCGGTAGATACCAGAGCGGCTGGTTCTGCACTGTAAACAGCAATCACCTTGAGTGCTTCGTCGAACTCTTTGTGACGAAGCTCCATCTCAATCCACTCGCACCATACCTTCTGAGTGGGCCGTGTGCTCCATTCAAAGTGCTGCGTTGAACTTGGGTCAGGACGGAGGCAAGGTCATCGACACCCCGATACTTCACCTGCGTGGCCTTGAACCAACTCAGTTGGGACGGTGCATGATACAAACCTCGCAGGTCAGACAGCTTGAGTAGGCGACCTTTGAAAAAATCACGCGAGCGTTTTCCAAGTCATCGTGCGACTCGTAGAACTGCAACGCAGATGACACGAGACTGGCAAGACATGCCGGAGTACATGTTGCCTTGGCGAAAGCAGCCCACAAGGTCCACAGGCGACCTTCGGCTTTCTGGGGCTCCACCGTCATCACCTCGGCACTCGCCGCTACAGGCGCAATTGCTGCAACCAAGAGGCGACAGTGCCAGGCCCCGGACGGCCTCCGTGAAGCAGCGAATGACCTTCTCGGGCGAGTCCTGAGCAGCAATATCCAATATGGCCGTCTGTCTCTGTGCGTGTGTTGTGTGTGTGTGTTGTTTGTGTTGTGTGT